GGCGAGTAGACACACACACACACACACACACACACACACACGACGGCTATCGCACCAGCATTACCCATCGCTCTCAGGACCCTGCAGACTTCCTTAGTCATTTGCGTTGCTGTCACTTTCCAAGGAGCCGTTTGGCTTCCCCCGGGGGAATGTTGACGCACTGATGGAAAATGTCAGCTTGTCATGTTTGCCCAACGAGGCATGAACATCGCAGAATTACAGAAAGGAAAGGCAATGATGGGATCCTGCGCCTATGAAAACCAGAGGCAGGACGCGCAGCGATAATTTTTTCACAGCTTCGTCTTCCAGGGGATTGAGATAAATTAAGTTAAGCAGCAGCTGGAGCAGCATGCATGGATCATGTCTCACACAGACAGGCCTGGCAACTATTCTACACCATGCAGGAAATCGCTGCATAAGAAAAGAGCATCGTCTGCCCAATGTTGGGCATTTGAGATCGCAGGCCTTGTTGTGACATGCCACAGAAAGAGGGGGCCCAATTCTGTACCAGTTAGGGTATCGTTTTTGTAATTCTCTCTCATCGAAGAAAGTTCCTGCAAGTTAGTAATATTAATAATACTTGTAAATAGGGATAGGGGGAACTGTCAAGTTCAGGTCTCTCATTTTCCCCAAACTTAAATTCAGATCTCTACACTTTGGCAGCAACTGATTTTTTTTAAAAGATCCTCATGAAAATTCACCAGCATTTTAGCGTAAATTTACCCTAATAAACACAGTTTTGACTAACATACACATTTCTGCAACCGATTTTCCTGAACAGACTGCATTTTTGTTTTTTCACGTAATTTTTTATACACACTTTTACCTAATATGTGCATTTTTGGGAAAACTGGCTTTCAGATTGCATTGCAAAATTGGGGTATGTGAGAATTTTGAAGGGTGGCTGTTTTTCAGTCCTCACACGGTTTCAAAAAATGAGGATTTGAGGGGTTTATCTTTAAATACAAACTTAATCAAATCCCTCCCCATCTCTACCCACAAACTACCACAGGGAGAAAAGTGCTATTGCAGCCTGTTTTCCGCTATGTTCATTTCCTACCTAGGTTTCCCCTCTTCCCAGGGGATAATTCACGAATCTCTCTCCACCTGCTCTCTAAAGTGGTACAGTCCATTTTACCACCTCAGCAAGGCTCTACCACCTCATTTGCTACCACCTTTGCTACATATCTAAACTCCTGATTTCATACTCCTGATTAGAGTGTTACTGCTAATGCACTCCTAGCACAAGCATTCTGTCCTCTCTTCCCACTTTCCCAAATTTCTAGTTTTAAGGGCTGGTTTGGCTGGTATCCTCAGTAAACGAGCCCTTAAAATGGTAAGAGGCTGGGAAGACATGTGAAGAGTACTGCATGCCACACTGCCACAGATTTCCAGGGACCGACAAAAACCCAAAATATGCTTTCAATACTAGACAGCCTTCCTAGCCCTCCTCCCCCAATCCCATGAAAAAATACAAATACAGTGGTACCTCGGGTTACATACGCTTCAGGTTACATACACTTCAGGTTACAGACTTAAGGTTAAGAACAGACCTCTGGAACGAATTAAGTACTTAATCCGAGGTACCACTGTAGTTAAATAAAAAATGGGCGCATAAAGATACTGACACACTCGTGTCTTCCATTACTTCCTCTTAACAAATATTTAAAAAAAAAAACCCCAAGCTGCTCAAACTGGCAACCAAACCATTCTCCTGGAAAACTCCAAATCATGTGTTTTGAGGTGTGGCTTTTGAGGGAACAGTTCTGAGCATGCTCAGACTGCCCTTCAAGCAGCCCTACTAGGCTTCATAGCAGGAGGGAGGTGGGACTACCACAAAGGGGCTTCAAAGCAGGCAGCCCTAGGGCTCAATTTTCACATATTTTTTCTGCCCAGAGACACATTGGAGGGACCTCTTTGCCTTAGCTATAATTTTGGGATTAGGATTGGCTGAGCACTAAAGAGACCTGGTTGGCCAGAGAACAGTAGACTGGCAGAAACGTCTGCAGAGCTTCTCCGAGTTCAAATGGAAGTATAAAATGTGTGTGCAGCGAGAAAAGAATATGCAGCTTTGAGATTTCTTGGGAATTTTGCTTTCGATCGCTTGACATTCTCCTTGGGAGGGCTGCGTCCCAGTAGCGCTTGTAGACCAGCCTCCACTGCATTTCCTTCTGCTCCCCTTGCTTTTGTGCAGTCACAATTGCCTCTCTACAGGCCGTACTATCTAGGGCTATCCTTTTGTGATGAAAAGGGCATTCCTGGATATAATTTTGATATGCTGGATATCTGAAAATCCCAAACTGATCTCCAGGTTGCCTTCATCGCAAGCATCACATAAAACGGGACTCTCATATCCTTGAAAATATGGATTTCGGTTCATTACCAACATCCCTTTTCATCTGAGATATCTACCGCTGGTTTGGGGACTTTGAGAGCTGCTTGGCAAGAGTAAAATTAACTAAACAATTAACCTCAGCTTGCCTTGATGGTTCGCCTGTTTCTTTGAAGTATTTATTCTTGTATAGATTAATTGGGGGGGGCGTCTGTTTCTTCACTATCTGCATATTAATTGATTTTAGCTTCAAAGGAAATTACTTCTGCACAGTTGGCAAGTTTGGGATCGTTAGCACTGGCTGATCCTAAATTGGCATACAACACCGAGCCCAAAATCAAGCCAGTGCTTCAAGCCCAAACTCCTCTTTTAGCATCTGCTTTGAAAAAAAAGGCTTTTGCCCCTGTGGAGAGGGGCGGATCTTGTTGATTTAAAGCAGAGTCTGTCGTGGCCAGCGGAAGGATGAGGAAAATGTGATACATACTCTATATAGCTTTATTTACAGTTCAAAGCTGGTATATTACAGAAAGACATCTTGCCTCTGCAGGAGCAGAAAATGCATCCTCTCTCCTCTCTCAGCTCGGAGAGAATCACACAGAGTGAAAAACAGGAAACCAGTGTACGTCACATCCAGTCTCCCTTTCCCGTGAGAAACTCCAACAGTACAGACTGTGGAATGTAAACACCTGTCTTGTGACTGCAGTTGCTGCACAGTGAAGGAAAGCAGAAACCAACATCCTCCCCCTTTCTGTGAACATCACTGGGCAGCGTGTTCGTACAATATCAGTACAAACCCAACTTCTGCACATGGGTACAGTGTTGATCCCTTGATACAATCTTGGACAATACATCAGCAGGAATTTCATTACCTGGCATATAGGACACCGTTACGAGTCCCTTCTGAATACATTCCCTAGCATGCTGCAACTTTAATTGCAAGTGCTTTGTGCTTTGCTTACAACCTTCAGACTTCAGCAAAGCCAAACATGCTTTGTTGTCCTGGTAAACCTGGATTGGACATTTGACAGGAATTTTCATATCTTTGCACAATTGTACTAACCATTCACAATCCTTAAGTGAATAAGACAGTGCATTCAGTTCAGCTTCACAAGTACTTAAGCTAACTGTTGTTTGCTTCTTGCATGACCAATCAAACAGACTCTGATTGTACATGTAGCAAACTCCAGACGTACTTTTCCTGTCTGTAGTGTCACTTCCAAAACTTGCATCTGCAAATATCTCAAGACCACCAGACTTCCGATTGTTAAATCTCAGTCTGTAATGCATAGTGCCTTTCAAATACCGCGCTATGCGTTTCAGAGCTTTCCAATCCTTGACACTAGGATTGTTGACTTGTCTGCTTAGCAAATTACAGCTAACAGCAATGTCTGGTCTTGAACATCTGGCAATGAAGTTTAGCTTGCCTAGCACACTACTGTAATGTTTATTTTCAGAAAATGCTTCTTCAGTGTCATCTACCTGATAACCTGTTGTCATCGGTGTGTCTACAGGGTTAGCATCCATCAGATTTAGTTTGCTTAACACATCAGCAATTTTCCGTGACTGGTGTACTAGAATGTTCCCATCTTGATCTCTCCCTATTTCCAGAGATAGGTAGTTGTTTACCTCACCAAGATCTTTCATGTCAAAGTGCTCTTTCAGTTGAGCTAGGGTGTTATTGTACATTGCGACATCTTTCCAAAAGAATAATAAATCATCAACATAAAACAAACAGTACAGTTTCTTTTGCCCCTCCTCTTTGACAAATACACATGGATCAGCTTTCCCTTGCTGAAAACCTAGAGAAAACAATACTTCAGTGAGTTTTGTGTGCCAACACCGTGCACTTTGTTTGAGACCATAAAGGGATTTCTTCAGAGCACAAACAAATCCCTGTTTTACCTGTACACCATCAGGTGGAAGCATATAAAGTGATTCATCTAGAGATCCGTACAGAAAAGCTGTATTAATATCATGGTGACTAATGTGTAGATTTTCCTCTGCAGCTAGCTTGAGCATAAGCCTAATGCTTTCATATCTCACTGTGGGTGAATAGGTCTCGTGATAGTCTTCACCTGGTACCTGTGCAAAACCTCTGGCTACCAATCTGGCTTTGTGTCTGACTATCTTGCCATTTTGATCGGATCTGTCCCATCTAGGTGACCACGAAATGCTTTTGCCTCTGATCTAAGTAAAATTTTCTGTGCAGGATTGGCTTGCAACTAGCAACCCTGCAAAGTAAGGTGAATGTTTTGGGGAACATTTTTTTTAATACATGGTACAGTATTTCCCTTTTTGAAATTGCCTGCTTGTTTGGTCTTTCCTCCTTCTGGGTTCCATCAAGAAAGATGCTTTTCCCCACTGAAGAGCACTAGACTGGTGTAATACCCAAGTTCAAAACGTGCCTCAATTTGCAGGGAGCGAGAAGCTGCTGGAATCATACCAGGAGGGAGAAAGCAATATGGAAAAGAAAGTGTTCTCCATCTCAACACACTCATGCATGCTTTCTCCAGCAAATACCACTCCACAAAGGACTCTTTATCACACATAGACCAACAAACCACATGGCGCTGCTTTCCCACACGTCTGTGGGATGTGTGTTACGGAAACATTCAATTACAAGAATGTTTCCAACTTTATTGGTACCGCACCAATAACTATCTATTGGACTTTTATTATGCACACTTAACTAACACCTTTCAAACGGTCACATCAGAAATAAAAGCGATTACATCTTTTACTCTGTTCCCCTGCCCAAACCTACTGTACCAGCACTGCCCGAAGTAAACAATAACTGCTTTATTGGACACAACACACATAACAGATTTTTGTTCTGTTTTTAGATGACACACTTTGGGGGGAGAAGAAGGATATCAAAGGGCCTGTTGAGATGTCTCAGCCCTTTAAGTGTCTCAGGCACATGTACAATCTCCTCCCATCTCCTTGACATGGGAAGAAAATGAAGGCAGATCTATGCTGTGTTTTGTTTGAACATAGTATATCTCCCAAATGCCACCGCAGAGATCAGTTATTCTTTCTGGGGATGGATTCTGCGGGGGGAGGCAGGTTCAACAGAGTTCCTGCTTTTATTAGACTATGGTACAGCCTGAGATCAGATTGTAAAGGATGAGGAAGTCTGAGACTTACCCCAGGTTTTCTATCTGGTTAAGGAACATCTTAATAGGCCCAATACATCTTTTTTTTTTAAAGGAAGCCAGGTATAGATAATTTTGCTCAAGGTTATAGTGATGCATTTTGGGAGTTTTGCAGAAAGGAGCATATTACTGCTTGTGATGCACAAAAGGTTTTCATAACAACGTATTACTAAGATGATTACATTCAAGAAGCATCTTTTAGAGAACACTCTTAATCAGAAAAATCACTGTCAAAAAATAACGGGCAATATGTTCTAGTCTTCTGCTGGGCTGGTTTACCACAAGCAGATGAGTAATCATCAGAGAGATTGAGCCATCTCACTTGGTTTTCAGAAAAAGAGCTTTCTGGAGAGGAGCCTGCCCAGAAACTATTGTTTTTTGAACAAGAAAGATCCACTTTCTTTTTAACTCCGGATGTTACTGGCATATTTGGTATATTCTGTGAATTTTCATGGAATTGGAGCAGAAGGTGTGGAGACTTGATGGACTTAGAAAACCCTTGTCTGGCATTAGTAGTAACCTTTGAATGATTTCCTCCTTTCCTGGAGGAATAAAGTGTTTTCCTCTCGCTATATTTTGGGGGTTCTCTTTTCATCCTGCTTCCTCCACCTTTAATTTGTATCATGCTCTCTTTGGCCAGCTTCTCATTTTTGTGGCTGTCTGCACTGCCGATGTGAGTCCAGTTCAGCTGAGGCTGCTTTGGAGTGTTAAGTCCCTTTGCCCGACTGCCTTTCTTGATCACTTTCCTCAGTGGTGTGGATAGACTTGGTCCTTGAGTATTTAACAAGCATTCCTCGTGGCTGCCTGCAGCAGTGTCTGCACTGGAGCGGCAGGTGCAATGAGGACGGTCAGCATCACGGCTCCCAGCCCCAGAACGGCTGCTCTGCTGAATGTCAGCATTTTCTTTGCCCTGTGAGGCTGTGGCAGTAGAAATGACCAGGCTGCCTGGAGGAGCATCACTTGAGTGGGAATTGTTAGGTACCTGTCTGGACATCATGTCTGGGGAAGTCTGGGAAACACTGTCCTTTATATGAATTGGTACTCTGGGTGCAGAAATGAATGTTTGCAAATCAGCCAGAAGACTAGGGAGCTGCAGATGTTCCAACCGCTCACAGAGCTTCAAGTGTTGCTCTTTCTGCTGGGCTGTGAGCTGCTCCAAACTCTCCGTCAGCGACTGCAGGCTGGATTTCAGATCTGAGATCTCTGTATCTTTCTGTGGAAAGTGATGAGGGGAGTAGAATCATTAGACGGTATGAATTCACAATCTAGAATAGAAATGCTTTCAATTCTAAAACAAAACAAAACAAAACAAAACAAAACAAAACGAAGAAATAGTGAAGGGAGCATGGATCAACCAATGTTCTAATTAGCCCAGAATCCTGTTCTCACAGTGGCCAACCAGATCCCTGTGGAAAGCCCACAAGCAGGACCCAGGAACAAGAAAACCTTCCTCTCAACTGCTTTTCAGAAGCATTATTACTTCCAAGTATGGAGTCAGAACATAGCCATCATGATACCTCTCACTTTCATGAATGTGGACGAGTGCTGATAATTTACTCAGCTGAATAATTTACTGAGCCGATAATTTATTGACCTGAATGACATTTCACATGCATATTTTACCTATTGGGGTAGAAATTGGGGTAGAAATTTCAGTTATTAGAAGGAAGTAGATATTAGTTAAAATCATTCTCTCCCCCCCCCTTTTTTTTTTGCAGCATCCCTATTCTTCATTGGTTTCTTTTAGATTCATTCTATTCCTGTCATGGCTTTTTCTCTGATCATTCGTGAAACAGTGTTCCCAAATTATTCACCTAATTTCATTAATTTTATGACATTCCTAACTTCTCTTTTTTGACTGAAGAAGTTTCCTTATTTTCGTAGGAGTTCCAGGTTCTGAAAGCTACATTTTCAATATATTTGATTCCTGCATAGTACAGTTTTGAAAGCTGACATCTGAAACAGAGACAGCTCTTTGTGACCCTGGTTGATTAATTCCATCCTTGAGACCCTTATTAACCCGTATCCCTTGTTAGGCTGACTTCAGAGGTGTTGCATTGGCATTCCAGGGCAAGATAATTTATTCTGCAAATCAAAGGCAAGAGGGTGATCGCTAAGAGTATAGCAGCACTGCTCTGAATGTGCCTGGTGCCTCCTTTTCATACAGAGCAATTCTCCTCATAGGCTTGAAAGCACCCACTCACCTGCAACAGTTAAGAATTACATGTGGGCAATCTTACCAAAGGCAGCTAATTATTTTTGGCCATGAGTACACTACAAACAACTAAAGGTACCTCCAGGGTTTCAGTATTTGCACAAGTAGATTAAAGCACCCTGTCACATTAGTGCAACAAATCCACTTTTTAAAAGACTTTTAGCCGTTGGGAAAGTGACAGGGGAAATTCGCATTGTAAAGTATGGAAAAACGCATGATTGATAGAAGGATGTTCCACTCCACAAGCAAATCAGGACACAGGCCTATTGTCATATAGCTTCCTTGCAAACAAATCAGAACAAATGTGCAATAAAGACCCAATTTAATCTAACTTCCATGTAAGCTTTGTGCAAGCAAATCAGGAAGAATACTTAATAGATAGGTTATCTTGAGGAGCCCTAACAAAAATCTGAGTGGACTGCTCTGGTAGCTTATGTTTTCTCATCAAACGTGTGCTTAGAAGGGAACTTGCATCTTTATTATTAAGGGGGAAACGATAATGAAGGTGAAGTTTCTACTTTCTTAATAAAACTGAATATCCTTGTTTTTGTTAAATTCACTCAATCCCAAGAAAAATATGTCAATTCCAGACCCACCCTGTTTTCCAGGGACAGTCCCGGATTTAAAGAAGCTGTCCCAGTTTCTGATTTGATCTCAGAATGTCCCGCTTTCCCCTATTTTCATAGGATAAATGTTGGAGGGTATGAAACAGGACACCCCTATTTTCACCAGAAAAAAATGTTGCAAGGATACGCAGTTCCCCTGTGAAAAGTCCCCACTGCCTGAAAGAAGAGACAACACATACAGTATTTTTCGCTCTATAAGACGCACTTTTCACCTCCTAAAAAGTAAGGGGAAATGTGTGTGCGTCTTATGGAGCGAATGCAGGCGGGAGGCTCTCCTCAGTGCTCCGTGGAGCCCCGTGGAGCGTGTGTGCAGTTCTTGGGGGCTTTTCCCCAAGGAGGGAGAAGGGCTGCCCTTTAAAGGGAGCACGGCTCTTGGGGGAGCCTTCATCCCCCTGCCCGGGAGAGGCTGCACACGGCTAAGCCAGAAGTCAGGACAGCAAGAGGGGTTGCTGCGCAGCGATCCCTCTTGCTGTCCTGGCTTCTGGCTTAGCTGTGCACAGCCTCTTCCGGGCAGGGGGAGCCTTCATATCGGTGCCCGGGAGAGGCTTCGCGCACCTATCCCAGAAGCCAGAACAGCAAGGGGCTATCCCAGAAGCCAGATTCCTCTTGCTGTTCTGGCTTCTGGGATTCAGAATATTTTTTTGTTTGTTTTCCTCCTCCAAAAACTAGGTGCGTCTTATGGTCTGGTGCATCTTATAGGGCGAAAAATACGGCGAGTGATGCTTTGAAAAATATAATAATGGTGGAGGGACCAATTTATTCTGCCGGTTGTGAACCTGAGTGTTGGGTTTTTTTGGCATTTTAGAGTCTTGTTTGTGGCAAACTACAGTCCCTGACAACAATGCACTACAGCTAAAAAGCTGGTTATTATTTCGTTACAGGAAATGTACAGATGTGTCTCTGAAGGCACCATCCGATAATTAGTCTGCATTTTCTGAAGAGAGAAAAGGAGAAGTAGGGGCAGAGTTCAGCTAAATAAAGTAGAACAATCTCCACACTTACGTTTTCCAGCCTTTTCTTCTCCACTCCTAGTAATGCTTGTTCCATTTCATTTTTGTCTCTCAGAGCATTCAGCACCAATTCATAATAGGATTGAGACGTTTCTTGCACTAGACACAGAAATCAATACAAACCACATTTATCCTGTCACATTTACTCTGTCAAAGATAAAATGCCACTCAGTGTTTCTCAGCGAGGTTGGAATGAAATTGTATACTGTGGGTTATGAAGTGGGCGCAACATTTCACAAAGAGAACTAGAAAAAGTCTCCACCACCACCACCACCGTGTTATTTAAAACTGACACAATGGTGCTTCCAAGTGGGCATGTGCAATGAAGGAAGATTCATTTTATAAATGTTATAAATGTTATAAAGCCCACTTGCTTCTTCTTTTATACATACAGATCCCTAGCCCAATCTCTTCCATATAATTCCAAGTAATTCAAGGTATTTTCACAGCACATCCCAACCCAATACACGTCATCATGCCACAGTTCTACCAATGACTAAGATGAGACATGTGTGGAAGGTTCTTGGAAATGCCACTTGCTTTTTCAAAAAAAGTGGCACTCAAAAGGCAAAACTTTTGTACAGTTTGTATAGCGCATGCTTGTTAATCAAAACAACAACCCCACACTATGAATAACAGAGCTGGAAAGAACTTTTGAGGCCCATCTGGTCCACCACATACCACATTCCACCCCTCCCACAAAATCCAGAGCCCCATTTGCTGCAAGCAGGAAGTAAGTGTACAGTGCCAATGATATATCCACAAAGGAATTAGCTACAAGAGAAGTCAGGGAAGGGGGAGGTGGGGTTATGGGTTGTTTTGTTTTTATTACGTATTTTGTGTTTTTATCTTGTATCTTTATGCTGCGAACCGCCCTGGGATCTACAGATGAAGGGCGGTATACAAATATCATCATCATCATCATCAAGGTTATTATTTGCTTGATTTTTGGTACATAACACATAGAGCATGCATCAGCCGATGCAAGGTCTAGCTATAACTGAAAGCCCATGAAGCGCCTCTGCCAAGAACTTCAAATCGGCTACTGCTATCTGCAATAATTTCGATCGTAGTTAACAGGCCTCAGTATACATATTTTGGGTTCTGTGTATTCTGCATTTTTACTCAGGCATGGAAAAAGTGCCAAAAAAGTGCAGAACTTTGTACAGTAGTTAATTTCCTGAGAATTTTTAGTATTGACTAATTATATAGTGCTATGTATTCTACGTATAGCAAGAAGAGGAAGAAGAGTTTGGATTTGATATCCCACTTTATCACTACCCTAAGGAGTCTCAAAGTGGCTAACAATCTCCTGTCCCTTCCTCCCCCACAACAAACACTCTGTGAGGTGAGTGGGGCTGAGAGACTTCAGAGAAGTGTGACTGGCCCAAGGTCACCCAGCAGCTGCATGTGGAGGAGCGGGGAGGTGAACCTGGTTCACCAGATTATGAGTCCACTGCTTTTAACCACTACACCACACTCCCTGCCAGAGAAGCCTACAATCTAAAAGGCTACACAGGATAGTCAACACAGGACAGACAACAGAGGAAGAGGTGGTGCAGTAAATGAGGAAATCAATTTATCAATTTATTTCAGTCACACACACACACACACACACACACACACTTAGCATGGGAAATAAAAGATTGTGCCAACTATTGGAATTTTGTGTTGCTGTGCTTGTTTTTGTTCTATGATGAAACATTATGTAGACCACTTTTGTTGTGGTTTCAGGCCTAATTTGGGGATATGGGTGGCTTTGGCCACCCTGGTTAACACTGGAGAGGGGGACTCATCAAAATGGGCTTCAGAAGGAGAGAAGGGATTCTAACAGAATGATCGCCTTAGTAGAACATTGAATTCCTCCTGATGTGTATAGCTAATAACCAATGCCAATGAGACAGGAAGTGGTACATCTATTCTGACCTTTGTTTTCATATATGATACCCATTTTACATTTTTAATATATTCCACACTTTTCCTAAGCATTCACATTTTGTCAGGAAAGTTGATGCTTTTCAACATTTCACTGAAGTCAGTAAAGTCAATCTTGCAGCTTATCAAATTCAAGATTATCTCCTGTTTACACACTGCTTCTTTCATATAATCCATCTGGCAAACTAGTGGATCTCAGGGTATTTTACAATTCATCATTTCCTCAACTGAATCGAATTTACCACCGTTTTCAAAAAGGTCATCACTCTTGCACTGTATCAACACATATGATTAAATAAGAAACTCCTTTTGTGTTATTACAGTACCATCATTTCTCATTATTATTATTTTTCATAAATGTTCCATAGCTGTTTTCATGGCAGAAGCACATTTAGATCCATCACTGATGCCACAGTCGCAGCCAAGCATATTACTTGACCCCAGTCAACCTTGCTCAAAAACTAGACAAAAAGCAAAAGCCTCATTAAAAGCCTGGCTGCTACATCTAAGACAAGTTTCCTGAAATAAAAAAGGCTCTTTCCCTCTATGGCGGTTATCCTTATTAATGGCTAATACATTACCGCACAAGGCTATAGACTGAAAGCAGAATGCAGATGATGGGTTATCTTTCTTTTCCTTTTCAAAGAAAAAATAATACTGCTAAGTGACAGTTTCTCCACTAACAGCCAACACAATCACTTTTGGGCTTATTAGTTTTAAGCAGCCCTGTGAAGTCTTGGTGCCCTGGGCACGACTTCTAAATTTATTTGCTCAAAAACCCATCCATTTCCGTAATTCACTGGATTTGAATGCCGAGCCTCGTGTATTATTTGGGTTAGAGTCCTAATGGGAATCTTGAACTTTTACAGTAATTCTCAGCAATTCTCCTGGTGACACCATACAGTGGAGACGGTGTCAGTTTCTCAAAGGGTGCTTTCAGATGACTTGAGAAAAGGCACAGCAGTCTGGAAGTCATCTTTAGAACTGTATAGTTCGGGAGAGCTGTTTAATCAAATCTCCACACAGGTGTTTCACTGATGGACAGCAACCCATCCAGCCACCTGCTGTTTGTTCTTTATGAAGTCAGACATCGGCAGTATAAGGGTTCCCTTTTTAAAATCTGTGAACACAGTGCAGCACCTAAGAAATTACAATCCCATTGGATGTTCATCCAGTTTAGGACCAAAAGGTGCCTATGTTCAGAAATACGGTTCTTTGGCAACATGACACCAGTATACAGTGGTACCTCGGGTTAAGTACTTAATTCGTTCCGGAGGTCCGTTCTTAACCTAAAACTGTTCTTAACTTGAAGCACCACTTTAGCTAATGGGGCCTCCTGCTGCCGCTGCAGCCCAATTTCTGTTCTTATCCTGAAGCAAAGTTCTTAACCTGAAGCACTATTTCTGGGTTAGCGGAGTGTGTAACCTGAAGCGTGTGTAACCCGAGGTATCACTGTATAGATATCAAAGCTGGTGTTTCTCTTTAAAGAAATGGCTACAGCTCAGTGGTGGAGCCCATGTTTTGCATGTGGAAGGCTCAATCTTTGGCACCTGCATGTAGGACTAAGAAAGGAACTCTTGTCTGAAAGCCTGGAGAACTACTGCCAGTCACCATAGCCCAGCAGCAGGCAGCATTCAGGCTTGTTGAATCTACCTTTGGTTACTTATTAGAAAGGTTTCCTATGTTTATGAATTACACCAAGGAATACCTCCATGTGCTCCTGTCTGCAGACCTGTTGCCCATTGCAATTATGTAGATGTTGCATTAGTTAATTCTAAATATTTTAATGGGTTACTCTGAGTCCTCACATCAGCTGCGGTAGTCACAATCAAGGGGGAAGCATTTCTTGCTAATGTATATACAACAATTTTTCAGACATGCTACATTAGCAAGGATAATGACACCTTCGATCGTATCGTTGTTGTTTGCCACAGCACCCCATTACTGTGATGGGTAGATAATCGAGAGTCAAATAATGTCCAATCTCTGACTCCATTCATACACAATAATTTCAGTGACAATTATTTTGCTTTGTGCTCATTCAGATACTACATTATTCAGATATGTTGCTGAAGCCTGTAATTTCAGGCATGGATTTGAATTTGTCTAGTTTGTAATGTTCAGGTGCGCTGTTTACCCCCCAAAATAATTTCTTTTTCTTGAAATGCAAATATGAGAAATGTAGAATTAGCAGTCAAGCTGATCTGGCTGCTTTGTACATATATATGCAAAAGTTCTTGAAGGAAGCCCTTTACTCTCAAGGAAGCTCTCATTGATTGCTGTTACGCTGTGTTAACTGCAAAGCTGCCTACTTTGTAAGTGCATGAACAGATGTTCTTAACTGTTGGCCTCTTACTTTCAATCAGACTCTCAAAGATCGCCGCACAACCGTACTACTTTTTGTTTGGTAAATATATGCTCTAGATTTGGCTTAATTCTCTTGATTGTTTCTTGCAGACATGTTGTAGGTTAGCCATTCCCCCATCTCCACTTGTTCTCAGTATCCGTATTGGCAGAAGGGAGGAAGCAGATAGATTTCCAAGCTGCTCTATGGTATGGTTGGGGCACAATTCTCTAGGGTGCATGTGCACTTTGGCACTAGCAATGCACACACGCCAGTGTTACAAGCTGGGAGAAAACAATTGGGGGAACATGCGAGTTTCTATCTAACTGCTCGCTAAGAAAGCTAGTAAATAACAAGCCGGTTCTAAATTGCATGTCAGACGTTCTCCACATTGTGTTAGCTTACCATATATTTAGAAACTGCACACTCGAAACAAATCAGTATAACTCAAAATCTTCAGAGAATAAATTATTTGGTGGTAAACCCAGCAATCTGATGTTAAAGATGGTACCAATGCAGAGCCCATTCAGTAATAGTGAGTGGGAATTCCAACCATCAGAAATATGGTCCTTCAGCACCATGACACCAGTTTAGCTGTCCTATAGATAGGGCCCCCCTTTAGGCAGCATTCTGTTCTCACAGCAGCCAAAGAGATGCCTATGAGAAGCCTGCAAGCACAACCTGAAGGCAACAACCCCCTCCCCACTTTTGAGCAACTGGCATTCAGATGCATACTGCCTCCAAACAGTGGAGGCAGAAAGAGCCTGAAAGGCTCTGGTAGCTTTTGCATTTATGTTATACTGTATAAAACTAAAAAGGAAGGCAGACTCTGTTATGCAAAACAAATGTTTAGAATGTTAACATTAACGGTTTTAATGTTTTGTTTGTTTTACTGGTTAGAATAATTTGCACAATTTGTTCATAATACAAATGCGAAAAGTTGCCTTGAGTTTGGACAGATGAGATATAGATGTTTTAACTGTGCTCACTTGCCTAGGGGTTTCAGACAGCAACACCCCCTACTCTTCATGGGAGCAATTTTTCCAACTCTTTTGAAACTGAGTGGGCGAGGGGTTTAAGGAAAAACAGGGTGCCCCAGCAAACATTAGCTCAATAAAATAAATTTGCTAGTAGTCTGTTTTAAGTGGACAGCTGACCTGAAGCCTGCAAGGAAATGTAAAACAGACAGCTTGGTCAGTGCTTCATTTTGCTGTTATGTATGTCAAGTCAAAAGCATTACACAAAGGAGAATCTGGGCTTGCTCTGCTGAGTCCTCTTTGAAAGGTACACCTGACCTTTAGGTCAGCACTTCTGTGAAGCAGCAGATGAGAGATGGTTTCTTTTCATAGCAGAATTTCAGCATATATGCTTAAATTGCTCACTACTAGGGGATATTTGGAAGCAAAGGTGAATATATTTTCCCTAGGCCTTTTAATCTTAGTTTTATCTCTGGTACATTATGCTACTTTTATCTGCTGTTTTAAAAATAATATTGTTGTTTCACAATGTATTTTATTTGGCAGCTCATTGTTTTATTTGTAAGTTGCCCTGAAAATATGCGTTTTTTCCCCTGCTGAAGGGCAGCACATGAATTCTTAAATAAAGATGCAATGGTGGGGAGGGTGCTGCTGTGCAGCTGAGTATGGGGGCACCAACAAGCTATGGAAATAGGTGATGTTAAATCTGCTCCCCTTCCCCCGGGGGGTGGTATTGCAGGAGGGTCGAGACCTCCCAGTGACCTGGCTGTGGATGGAGGGATGCCACCCACGTCATAGGGACTCCCAGCCACGTGACGCCCCCCCCGGCTGACCAATCAGGATAGCCAGGGGGCATGGCCACTAGCACTTTCAACAGCAGCATGGCCTCCTTTCACCTCCTTGCGTTTATGTGTTGCTTGACAGCGGCCTTGCTATGGACTAAGGCCGGCTGCCATATTGTTGGGGCCAGGTAGGAATTTTTCCGCTTGGCAAATTGGCACCAGCAAATTGGTTTTTGCCTACCTTGTAGCAACTGTCACAACTTTGTAAGGTTAGGCATTGGGTAAGCCTTGTTTATGGGAGGGGAGGTGGTGGCCTCCACCTGCCCCTTCACATTAAGGGTACCCCGTTAAAGGGAACTGGGGTGTGTGGTTCCTGTCCAAAGCTTGACCATGGGCTAGGGCCATGGCACGACCCCACTGGGACCCTGAGGTTGCCCCGATTTGATGTATATAATAGGGCTCCCCCTACCGGTGGTTTACCCTTATGAGACTCCCTGCAGATGGGCAGGAGTCAGGATATAGTCTGGTTTCACCCAATGCCTAAGCCAAACCACTCACATCTGTAACCAATAAAGTTGTGGTCTATTTTATCCCATTAACCTAAACATTTGTGTCTGTGTGTTTGTTAGCTAAGGGAACTGCGGGGCCCAGGGCCTCGCTATGCAAGTTCCCATTGGGATGAGCCACTTAGCTGTGAAGTTCCCAAAGTTGAGTTTAGGTGACATTCCCTTAGCTGAGTTTGTGTGCAGTTTTAATGCCTCATCTAGAACACCTAAAGCTGTCTGGGGCTATGGCCAGGAGGAACCACATGGCAAGACAATGGATGGTGATGGAATAAACATGTGGAAGGTTTCATTCTAACATCTGCCAGTGAAAAAACTGCCAAGCAGCAGGAAAGCTGAGATTTCTCCTGAAGTCATTATTACATTAAATGTTTTTGGATCCTACTGTGCTAAATCAATGGCATACATGTCTATGAAAATTCCCCGCCCTCCCCAGCTGACGAACTGCACAGCCAGGCAAAAAAGGAAAAGGAGTAACAGCTTAGTTATGAGCAGCACAACTCTAAATAATGAGCTTAAAATGAGCTAAGCCATTGCCTTCTTCACATGAGGCCACATTCTCAAAACAAACTCCCTATATTCACAACAGCTAGAGACTAGGGCATTGCCCATTTGATACACTGGGAAGTCTAATACATCGACCCAATTCCTGCTGCTTTCCCTATCTACCAATAACATATAATATATACAATATTCTCCCAGAGGCACACGCTGACAGCTGCAGTCTGCAAAATGCCTGTCACTTGGAGGAAAACTTTCTCATCTTTTTGCACCAGATGCAGGAGGTGAGAGACTTGGATTTCAAAGGGAACACATTTAACTGATATCCTTCCAAGACTCCACTGCAGTTACTTAATGGTAGGAAGATAATTAACCATCACTGTGATCCCAATCGAGCAGCAGTGTTTATTGGCAACCAGATATGTACAGATGAACCGGTGTAGATGGAAGAAGCAATATGCTGAACATGGCTGATGCAACATTCTGCTGAAATGTGGCTTGTTAATACGGCAGATGCCAAGTGTTCTGCTATATGAAAACTTACATTTCACAATGCCTTATAGGAACATAGCTAAGTTTTCAAGCAATACTAACATATTTTGCTTTTAAATGATTGGCAGGCAGTTCTTTACACACACACACACACACACACACACACACCTCTGTCCAAAGCAATTTTTCCAATATAGTAGCCAGTGTTTCAATTATACTTCAATATGAGTTTAATATTTAAATCCCAGCCTGCCGATAGACTTCCTGGACTACCTTATGTAAATCCTTAGCTCATGGCTGCGCTTTCTCCTTCAGTAAAAAAGGAAATTAGTTCCATGTTATTCAAACCAAATTTTCTAGTCATGCCATACTAGAATTCATACTCCTATTCCGTGTCTGAATTTGCCACTGTTGGTGCATCTAAAGTGCCTCTAGGCTGTCACTATTTTGCAGGAGGGATTCAAGAGCATACCATATATTTAGGTTTGGGCAATTAAAGTGGACTAATAATAGTATTAGCCACCTCAGGCGCCACTTCCATAGTCACCTAAGTGAAAAGGGATTTGGGGTAGCATTAGTGTGGGAAAATGAGCTGGCTCCATAGGGAAAGCGCCTTCATTTTCATAAGTGAGTGTTCTAACCATGGAAAGGATAGGTGCACAATTTCTGGGGTTCACAGGGGAGACAGATGGGGGAAAGTAATCTGACTGAAAATAACACAGCTAAGCAGAGGGGTAGATTTGCCAACATGCCTTAAGTGCACCAAACAATGCCCCACCCCCCCTTCCAAGACACTAATACAGTGGTACCTCGGGTTAAGAAATTAATTCATTCTGGAGGTCTATTCTTAACCTGAAACTGTTCTTAACCTGAGGTACCACTTTAACTAATGGAACCTCCTGCTGCCGCCACCGCACGATTTCTGTTCTCATCCTGAAGCAAAGTTCTTAATCCTAGGTACTATTTCTGGGTTAGCGGAGTCTGTGACCTGAAGCATTTGTAACCTGAAGTGTCTGTGACCCGAGATACCACTGTAAAACTATTCCCACAATAAGTGACCCCCAAACAGTCATGCTTTCATGGGACAAAAGTCATTTACTAGAGACGTGGATAACTAGTGTGTCATTCACAACAAGTGGAGAGCCAGGATCACACCGTGGTTAGAGCGCCAGAGGAGAGCCTGTGTTCAAATTCCTGCTCAGCCTTGAGGCTTACTGGGTGACCTTTTGCCAAGTCGCTATCTGATACAGTTCTTTTGAGGATAAAAATGTGTTCCTTGGAGGAAGGATAGGATAAAGATGAAATTAATACGGTAAATCACTGCATTTCCTATGGTGATAGTGGCTGGTTCATGATCACCCAGGTAAAACCATAGCACCTGGAAAGGTCCCCCGTAGCTATGAACAGATGCAGATGCAATGATCAGTCTGACCCCCACACTCTGATGGGAATAGAAATAGTCCAAGTACTTACTTGACTTAGAAAAGCTTCCGAAGCCATCCAAAATAGATTTCAGAGTTTCTTCAAACTTATCTAAGGAAAAGTGCAGCTGCAAAATAAATAGTTTTGTGAAAGACTTAATATTTATTCATTTCCCTTATGGTGTTTTCAGTATAGTCAGTGTTTCCAGCTGAATCGACAAGCATTCAAACCAAAGGTTCAATTATATTTTATCATAGGGCATGACAAAAGGCAAATGCTCTATTAATTAGAAAATAGGAGAAATGCATGAAATATTTCCCACCCCTGCTTCCAGCTTATAATTTGGATTCACTTACCCTTTGAAGACTCTCTTTAGTGTTCAAAATAAAGGTGTTTAAAAGCTCGCTGAATGGGAGATACACAAAAAAACCACAGAATTTGATTGCAAATTAGTCAAATGCAAATACAGGGAAAAGCCAAGATAATCTCACGAGACAGCATGCACCACACAGCAAAATGTAGATTTAACACATTTTAATTCCTCATTTAAGTATTTATCTCCGTGGAACTTTCACCTCTATAGTCAAGTAAATTCCATTAGCAAGAATCCCCAGTGAACTTGTTTTTCTGAAATGCTGACAGATGGCAAGTGCTAAATCAGGGGTTCTAGTAATTGTAGGAGAGCTTGTTTCAACAAGTCAGTTTTACCTGCTAAGATCTGATGATGGGAAAAAAGAAAATGGGGGGGGGGGAGAGGACATGGTAGGTTTGTGGAAGAGGAAACATTTGAAAACGGTGCCAGCAACCCGAGGGAGTGAAGGAATAACAAATGAAAAGTGAACTGGAGAATGTGTCTGGGAGGTATTCCTTCTAGGTAGGTGACAAATGCAGAGGAAAAGATTGAGATTGTGGCTTGGGAGCCCTTACCTGGGTGAATGAAGGACACTCATACAGTGGTACCTCTGGTTATGTACTTAATTCGTTCCGGAGGTCCATTCTTAACCTGAAACTGTTCTTAACCTGAGGTACCACTTTAGCTAATGGGGCCTCCCGCTGCCGCTGCGCCGCCGGAGCACAATTTCTGTTCTCATCCTGAAGCAAAGTTCTTAACCCCAGGTAGTATTTCTGCGTTAGCAGAGTCTGTAACCTGAAGCGTATGTAACCCAAGGTACCACTGTATTTGGTGAAACTATGGCAGAGATAGTTACAAATAAAAAACCGGGGGAGGGGGGAGAAATGTTTCTAAGAAAGGTTGTACCATCTTGACAATGTAAAGTATTGTTGTATGTACCATTTTACATCTGTGTGCACTGGCTAATAAAAAGCCACAAAGTACCAGTTGCAGTTCACACACATTCAGAATTTGTGGAGACTTGGGGCCATCCTAGATCATTTTGCTGCAGGAGCCAAAGGACAAGGTGGTGCCTCCTAAATTTTCCACATACAGAATCTGACCATCTGGCAGGTGACCTTACTTCAGCTTTGGCAATAAGACAACATCCTCCACTTAACCCCAGGGCAGCCGGCTAGCATAGGAAGCACAAAGCAGGATATGGTAGGAGGGCTGAGGGAGAAGTGTGGGGAGCTGCTACATTCACTAAACATGTGAGGAATCAGGAACACTCCACAGAGAATCCAGTGAGGAACACAGATTTCTGCACAGCTCAACAAGGGAACAAAGCTAAAATGGCAAGATTCTTTCCACCAAATGATTTTTATTTTAGAAGGCCTGCTGGATGGCCAGATGAGAAACCACTGCTCTCTCATTACTGGTATTGCTGCAAAACTTACTACAGAAGTAGAAGAAATCTAGATATGCTCCCTATTTAAAATAATAATAATAATAAATTTTGCTCCTCAAGCTGTTTTTTTAAAATGATTTATCATCATCATTATTATTAGTTTTTGAGTGATTATGGAACTACAGAGACAAGTAAACAATAACAAAAAAAATCAGTATTATAGTCAATATGCCCTAATTTGTGCCCACAGGCACAACATTTATTGAAATCTTTTTCATTTGCTCCTAGTCTTGCGGAAAATTGATGAGTGGCAAAGATGAACCATATTCACGAAAGGGCCTGCTTTCAACAAACAAAACCGAAACCAAGGAAATCTACTGAGGCCATGGGAGGTGTCACTGCAAATTAATGGCATTGTGCTGACATACTGGAGCTGATGCAAGTGTGATTCCAGAGTCTGTCTGAAGAAGTTTGTACAATCCACCCTGTCTCCAGCACGCTTTCACAGTGCTCGCTAGCTCTGGAAGACAGAATCCAAACTGTGCAGAATATTTCATGGCTAGAAACTCAATACAGAGGTAGAGATTGCACCCTTTAAAATATATGTGCTCCAAGCTGAGACCAATAATCTTTTGAGACATGTCAGAGCTACAACAATGGGCCTGGTGTGTGGCTGAGAATAACACTTTGCAGAGCCTCACAATGGGATAGGAATTTTGAAGACTATATCAATAAAGGTAAGACGTGAGGAAGGAACTGTACCCTATGCAGCCCACATAGAATATCAACCCTGTTGCTTCCCAAGGTACCAGCTGAACTAGAGAAGATGGTTCGATGTGGAACTCACTGACTTGTGCACGCGAGGTGCCAGTTCCAAAAAAGGATAGTACCTACATATGTGTGTGGAGTTGAAACAGCTGGTTAAAACCATAAAAAAGAGAAAACTACATTTTTCCCACCACGGATGACATCATTCCTCAGCTAGCAGGTGTTAGGAGTGACAGATAGTCTACTCATGACCCCAGGGTAAAATAACAAAAAACAGACTGTTAATAGGTGTTCATGATTTGTTCTTTAGCTCACTCCTTTGATTCAGGACAGTTTATAACTCAAAGGAGGGGAACTGTGATACTGAACAGAAAGGCAATGCCTTATTGGTATGGCATGAAAAGTGAAACTAGAGCCAAGACTAAAGGACTTACAAGGTACACGAAAGGTCTGCATTCATGAGTTTGTTAGGTCTGCTGTATAGTCACTTTTAGACAATAAAAGAGTTAGTGTTAATCCACCGCAGTATCTGGCATTCATTAAACAAGGAGAGGGAGATATTGCTAGTGGCAGCAATGCTGTCATGCTTTTCATTGTCCTTTTTAAAATAAAGCTTAAAGGTATGTTCTCTTTCAAGAATTGTACAGCAGGAGAAGAGGCAGAAGCATAGGTGAGAATTAAAACATTTACAACACTTAGAATATGCATGAAATGGCATGAGCACTAGAATACAGTGGTACCTCTGGTTAAGAACTTAATTCGTTCTGGAGGTCCGTTCTTAACCTGAAACTGTTCTTAACCTGAGGTACCACTTTAGCTAATGAGGCCTCCCGCTGCCGCCATGCGATTTCTGTTCTCGTCCTGAAGCAAAGTTCTTAACCTGAAGCACTATTTCTGGGTTAGCGGAGTCTGTAACCTGAAGCGTCTGTAGCCCGAGGTACCACTGTATATGAAATGAAGCTATGTTTGTCACAGAGAAAACATCACAAAGGGAAAACAGGGGCCTGTTTAGCATTGTGGTGAACCCAGTCTTAGAATGTCTCAAAACAAAGGAAATGTCTGATCACCTATGATTGCGTGGGCACACAGAAATTACAGAGGAGAAAGTCCTGCTTAATATTTCAACTGACAGGAATACAATGCAACAAAATTACTACTGTATATTGACCTTTTACAAGAAGGTTGCAATTATTACTATGGGAAATGAGCTTTCTCAATGCATTATATCCAACTCCTATTCACCTGTGGAAGTCTTCCATGTGGGGTGGGGTGGAGTGGGAGACAACATGTCATCAAGAGGTTCAACAAGAAGTCACGTTACTGACACCATGGATAGGTGTCATGTAAAGATATCAAATTAGATTAGCGCTAACTTGGCAGGCTCTGCATTGTTTTGCCTTGCAGTTCTCTCTCTAGCAGAAAGTAACCTACACAAGGGAAGCAGAGTTGCAAAGCTGGCCTAATGGGCCTTCACTCTGAGGTCTCAGGGCAGGTTACAGTATTAAAGCACAATATTAAAAGCAATTTATAACCATAAAAATAAGGGGGCCTTAATAACATACACCTCAAATGTCAAAAGCCTGGGTAAAGGGGTGTATTATCAGCAGCAGCATCTGAAAGTCATATAATGAAGGTGCCTGGAGTATAGGAACTAACTCCTAGAAGAAGAAGAGTTTGGATTTGATATCCCGCTTTATCACTACCCGAAGGAGTCTCAAAGCGGCTAACATTCTCCTTTCCCTTCCTCTCCCACAACAAACACTCTGTGAGGTGAGTGGGGCTGAGAGACTTCAAAGAAGTGTGACTAGCCCAAGGTCACCCAGCAGCTGTATGTGGAGGAGCGGGGAAGCGAACCCGGTTCCCCAGATTACGAGACTACCGCTCTTAACCACTACACCACACTGGCTCACCACACTAGGGGCTTCGGGGGCTTCGGCTCTCCCAATAAAATGTTTGAGGGGACTGCTCCTTCCCCCAGTTTATGGACAGTGCCATTCAAAAGGTGTGCGTGCACCACATCTTACCCCCAATATTTCATTCAAGTATATAGTTCTTAACCTGCGGTCTGAGGACCAGCAATGGTCCTTGATGCAGTTTCATACAGTCCTCAAGACTTCAGGGAAAATAAGGTTGGAGGTTTCTTTGATGTTTCCAGATGCAGGAACTTACTTTGTAAACTATAAACTGAAAAGCTGCTTGCCTTTTCAGTACCTCAAACTGATGCAGTGGAAAATTTCTCCTCCAAGCCCACAGAAAGCTTTTTTGGACTGTGTTCCTAGAGGACAAGCACTCCAATTAATTTTAATTTAGAAGCACTTTTTGGCAACTTCCCAATAGCGGCCGTAAGGAACAAAGTTGTGGTGATTTGTGAAGAGCAAGCAAAACAGAACCGTGATACTCAACACAACCAAGTTTCTTCTACTTTAACTGAACTCTAGATAAACTCATACCACACAGTGAACTTGTCAATAAACTAGGATGAACATTAAATTTGGAAATTAGAAGGCAAAAGGTTTGAAAACCCAAGATAAAAACAATGTTGTAAAAAAAAAAACCATTCGATTTTACACAAAACCATCAAAACAAAGTTGCAGATCTATAATAATTTTACGCCGGATATTATTTTTGTGTAGGGGCTGTACCATTTGAATACAGAATTCTTGTAGAGAAGAGAGGTGTGTTATTCTTAGATTAATAACTTGCAGAATACAGGGTGTCCATAGACATTTGATAAACTTTATTAACTATTTACAAGATGAGGAGCCTCTGTTATAGAAAGCCATAGCTTACCTGTTGCTTAATCATTCTGCTACCCAGTGGGGCCTTCTAGTCTCACATGATGCACTTACTAGGCACAACCCAGTTAAAGGGACAGTGTTCCCACAAGGGGAGTCCACTGGCTTTCAACTGGGGTGCTGGGACCCACTACTTACTGGGTGTGAGTCACAACAGCAGCACTGCCACCACACAAATATATTATTAAAAAGAAAGGCCTGGGTTCCCAAATCCTTGTTTGGGTTAAAAGAGGGTCTTGGGTCAGGAAAGGTTGAAGACTACTGACTTAAATTAAATGTCCTCCTTTGTGTTGCTCAGTGCCAGAGCAGAAGGCCAGCATCTATCTATCTATCTATCTATCTATCTATCTATCTATCATCTATCTATCTATCTATCTATCTATCTATCTATCTATCTCTCTATCTATCATCCATCCAACCAACCAACCAACCAACCACCCTTCATCCAAAGAGCTCAGGCTGCTTCACAGCATAAAACACAAAATGAAGAAACACAAAATTCATAATAAAAACAAGAACAAAAAGGGGGGGGACCTCCACAACCCTCTCTCCCACAAACACATTTAAAATGACATATAATCTTAATCACCTTCTTCCTTGGGGGGGGGGACAGGAGAGGAAGCATTTGGGGGATAAGGCTGCAGTGTGCATTAGAAGGTTAACCTTTTCTTCTCCAGCTGCATTTCCCCCCTCTACAAACTTCACCCCCATCTACACAGTTGTTAGGCTTGGGGGAGGAGAGAAGCTTTAATTGGGCGCAACGGGAATTGAGGCTGTGAGTAGGATCCAAAGATGCCACAGGCCACGTCTGGTCCATGGGCTGCCAGTTCCCTGTCCCTGATTAAGAAAGAACAACATCTTCAACAGGAGCAATTGAGAGATGCCAAATACAGTTCCAGACTTGTATTTGTTACACCATGGCAAAGGGCTAGCACTCAAGTTAACCTTTGCAATGCTGCTCTGTGCGGCATGTGCCATAAAAGAGGCGTGGCCTCACAGAGACTTCCTTCTGCTGAGCCCTGGTTGCTGACAAAGCAATAGAGAGGTATATAGGCACAAGCTCTGCAAGCAGCAACAAGATCAGTAGCTGAAGTGGGGGGAAACCTGAAAGGTAGGAGGTGGGGTGATAATGAACAAGACACGTAACTTCAGATAGCAGGAATGGTAGATGAGAATTGCCCGCGTGAAATCCAATCGAAAGTGGTCAAGCATATGTTAGAACTTGCCACATGTAGGGGGAAAATAATGGCTCTTGCATTATATGTGGGCTCAGAGAAACAAAAAGGGAACCCTACATTGAGAGGACAAAGCTCAAAGGCAACAATTCTCTGCAGATGTAGATGATAATGATAAGGGATGATGCTTTGGGTAAGAGGATTATGACAGAACAAGAAGAAATTGCGTAAGGTTGTTTTCTAATACAATAAATCTGCATTTAGAATTGTCTCTAAATGTTTATAAAATCAGATGGCTGTCAATCTTGCTTTTAATTTGCTTGTGGATAATGTTTCCCAATAGATTTTCAATGGTTGTCTTATCAGAAGCTTTTCAATGTATTTTGTCAGAGGAGAGATAATCATTTGAGCAACTACAATTGCCTGAAGTCTTTCCATCAAAATACAGCTTTCCTACAAGAACACACAAACACGTTTTTTCATATTTTTCTCGCATCTTTTTTTCTGAACATAATATGTACCAAATTGGAATTATTCATCACTCCACAGGGGGGGAAATCATTAAAATCCCTCACACTTGGTTCTGAAGTTATTACATAGCTTGCTGAAGGGAGGAAAAACTTCTGTGGTTTTTCTTAGGGTCCATCCTAATCCTCTCTTACTAACAAAGCGTGTATTAAAGAATGCCATAGGGAGGCTGCAATATCAGTAGAACACACAGCTCTAAAATGCTTGTTTATATGATAAAGGTATACATTTTAAAAACACATTCATTCCCTCAAAACATACCAGTCATTCTAATCATGGCCTACTTTTAATCAAAACGTAAAGACTAGTGTAGCAGTGCTTTTGTTCAGCCATAAGGCATTTCCTCTGCATTTTTTTGTTAGAAAATTCCTCCCTGCCCCCGAAATTCACTCGAATGGAACTTGACAAGACAGACTCCTCTCCTCCTGACAAAGAGCAGATGGAAAGTTAATGCCTATTAGGCGAAGGCAAACATTGTACACTCTCATTTTTCCCTTGAGAGGATCTGCTATATAGCCAATTCCCTGTTCAGACTAATATACACTTGTGTTTGGATGGTGCTGTGCAGGACATATTATCATAGAACTGTAGAGCTGAAAGGGACCACAAGGGTCATCTAGTCCAACTCCCTGCGATGCAGGAATCTTTTGCCTAACGTGGGGCTCAAACCCATGACCCTGAGATTAAGCTCACTATACAGTCGTACCTTGGAAGTCGAATGGAATCCATTCCGGAAGTCTGTTTGACTTCCAAAATGTTTGAAAAAGAAATCAGAGCTTCCGATTGGCTGCAGGAAGCTCCTGCAGCCAATCAGAAGCCATGGAAGCCACGTTGGACCCTCGGGTTCCAAAAGAACATTTGCAAACCAGAACAATCATTTGTGGGTTTGCGGCATTCGGGAGCCAAAATGTCTAAGTTCCAGGGCGTTCGGGATCCAAGGTACGACTGTACTCTGGAAATGATCGTCCTTAGCACCCTTCCACCTCCAGAGTTTGAAGTCGTATCCCTCTGAATGCCACTTGCTTAGAATCTTATGGGCTTCCCATAGACATCTGGTTGGCCACTGTGAGAACAAGATGCTAGACCAGATGGGTCACATGCCTGACCCAGGAGCTCTTCTTCTTATGTTCTCATTGTTTTAGGACATGTCCACAATTCTTCTTCTTATGTTCTCATTGTTTTAGGGCATGTCCACAATATATACCGTATTTTTCGCTCTATAAGACGCACCAGACCACAAGACGCACCTAGTTTTTGGAGGAGGAAAACAAGGAAAAAAATATTCTGAATCTCAGAAGCCAGAACAGCAAGAGGGATCGCTGCACGGTGAAAGCAGCAATCCCTCTTGCTGTTCTAGCTTCTGGAATAGCTGCGCAGCCTGCATTCGCTCCATAAGACGCACATACATTTCCCCTTACTTTTTAGGAGGGAAAAAGTGAGTCTTATAGAGCAAAAATTTTTTTCCAGAGGGACTGGATATACTGAATGGCTCCATCTAATTCTCAAAAGTCACATGGCAACTTAAGACAGATCCCTGCTAGCCCATGTAGCAGTTGAGGACACTAATGGCTATCAGAGTACACACACACACACACACACACACACACACTTATAGGGCTCATTGTAGCCAGGGGATCAAATCCTCCAGCAGCACAAACACAGAAAGCAGTAGCCTACACAGCACAATCTTTATGCTTTATGTACAGAGGGAAAGCCAAACCCATATTGAAAAAGGAGTGCTTTTCCACTGAGAATGCTTTCTGACAACTTGTTTATTCAGTACTCATCTTGATTTGGGTAGGCTTGATGACACTGATTATTTAGGAAGCATTAACCCTGATTTGTTTGTGGGGGAGGTTAGATGATGTTGCATTGAGCAAGTGATACCTCACAATTTCCAGTGCGTTTTCCCGTCACTTGTTGCAAAAAGTCCAATCTTTCAGGGAAGTGGGTTTGCTGCGCAAGACCTCTCATACAAATGTAACTGTGCAACCTGAATTTGCCAGTATGTGATTGGATCCCATCCAAAAATAGTAGTAATTTGGAAGCACCAATTCAGGCAACAGGAAAGAGAAGAGAGCTGCTGTAGCCAGGGGTGGCACCCTTTGAAGGCCTTCCGCTGGTCCTGCCCCTGGGCATCCGCCAGATGCAGTGACTGGCTCTTGAGCCACAGCAGCCCATGACCACTCCTGGCTTTCTGTCTGCACCATGCTGGGGGCACAATGTGATCTGCTGCGGAGAGGGTGGTGAAGTTGCATTAACAGTAGAACCCTTTAATGAAGGTGAAAGAGGAGAGCACAAAATATGGTTTGAAGCTCAACATCAAAAAAATGAGGACAATGGCCACTGGTCCCATCACCTCCTGGCAAATAGAAGGGGAAGAAATGGAGGCAGTGAGAGATTTTAATTTCTTGGGCTCCATGATCACTGCAGATGGGGACAGCAGTCACGAAATTAAAAGACGCCTGCTTCTTGGGAGAAAAGCAATGACAAACCTAGACAGCATCTTAAAAAGCAGACATCACCTTGTCAACAAAGGTCCATATAGTTAAAGCTATGGTTTCCCCAGTACTGATGTATGGAAGTGAGAGCTGGACCATAAAGAAGGCTGATCGCCGAAGAATAGATGCTTTTGAATTATGGTGCTGGAGGAGACTCTTGAGAGTCCCATGGACTGCAAGAAGATCAAACCTATCCATTCTTAAGGAAATCAGCCCTGAGTGCTCACTGGAAGGACAGATCCTGAAGCTGAGGCTCCAATACTTTGGCCACCTCATGAGAAGAGAAGACTCCCTGGAGAAGCCCCTGATGTTGGGAAAGATGGAGGGCACAAGGAGACGGGGATGACAGAGGATGAGATGGTTGGATAGTGTTCTCGAAGCTACCAGCATGAGTTTGACCAAACTGCGGGAGGCAGTGGAAGACAGGAGTGCCTGGCGTGCTCTGGTCCATGGGGTCACGAAGAGTTGGACACGACTAAACAACAACAGCTGTCAGTGTGGGAGTGAGACCTCTCTACTAAACAGTTTCTTAGCCAAGCTGCAATGATATTTATGGGGGGTGGAAATCTTGTAGGACTTATACACAATTGTATTCAATAGAAGGGAGAGTCAACTGATTTCACAGCTGTTTGCTTACTTATCGTGTTTTTCCTTGATCTTTTTCTTATTCTCTTCAAATTGCTCCAAGACACCTTTGAATCTTCCAGCTGGAAAATTAAATGGTCCTTTTTCCTTTCCATCCCCTGCAAAGAGCTGTGGTTTAGATTGGTATTTGGCAAAAATACTGGGCTCATTCTGTTTTTGAGAGAAAGAGAGACAACATGTGCTAATATTTAACATGCATTAACAGAAAGACAGATAAAGCATCACCCAGGCTATAGCAACTACACTTTCACTAGGAAACACAGCCTCTTTTTCAGGAAAGTACATTTGTTTTTTTTTAAAATTACTCCACTGTTCAATCAGAAAGATTTTATAGCAGCTAACACATGGTATGTTAAAATACAATTCAGTAAAAATGGAAAGGAAAGCAAGGGGTATAGCTTTGTGATGCAAAACATCTTCAACTCAATCCCTTGGAATCTCCAGGCAGAACTACTTTGAGTAAAGCATCTTTCTTTCCTTCTTTCTTTCCTTCCTTCCTTCCTTCCTTCCTTCCTTCCTTCCTTCCTTCCTTTTTCTAAACCACCAATTCGTTTTTAAAAAGCATGTACATGAGAGGAGAGTGCTGTTGCTCTCAGCTTGTGGGCTTGCTATATGCATCTGGCTGGTCACTGTGCGAATGGGATAATGAACTAGATGAGCCATTGGGCTGATCTAGCAGGCTCTTCTTATGTTCTTATGAGTTGTTGGCATTTCAGGAAGAAAAGGCCTGCTTTTAATCCACCAAACCACTGCAGAAGAAAATGGAAACCTCACTCCCTTGATCTTCAATTTAAGCAGAAAGCCTAGCCTGCTGGATTACTCTCTTTCATCTTCAAAAATGTAGGACAATCCATTTACAAAGTGCAGATGGGGCAAAAAGTATCAGGACAACAGAAAGGACCACATTGTACTTTTGAATCTCGAACATTAGGGGCTCGTCCATACTTCCGCTTGTCCTGTACCTAGAAAGCACAGCTCTGGGCAGTTTTCTGCTTGCCCCACTGTTCTCCCAGGGAAAACGTGTTATTTAGCACTAAATTGGACCAAATGTCAGTCTGCAGAAACCTCACTGATGTTTACTCCAATTCAGCACTAAAGAGCAGCTTTTCCCCCAGGGAAAGAGTTGAGAAAAGTGGAAGTTTGGATGAGCTCTAGATTTCTTTTTTGTTCTGACCCTTGAGGATGTACCCTGATTTAAGCATGATTTCAGTGAAAAATGACGAATGAGTTGTATAGGCATACTATTCAGAACAGCACAAAAAATGGCTACACAGACACACACACTTCCAACTACTGGGTTTAGCTGGAGACGCCTGGCCTTCCTCCCAATGGAGCTCATATCTGCATGTGATTCCCCATCAGCTTAAGGATATGGTTACAGAAGTCTACTTCTTTATGTAGAAGTAGCCTCTAGCTGTATCAGAGAAGCAACTATTTTGTAGCATTGCACACCACCCCAATCTCTGAGCTGTGTGAAATTCCAGGGATTCCAGGTACTCACCTAGGGTTTAGGAATGAGGCACAGCTGAGACTGTCTGCAGTGTCTTTATGATATATGGTTTATTTACACATATTTACAACCTGGGCCTATGATGGAGGGGTTCACAGCATTACCACCCTAAAATTGTCTTGTTTCTCTCATAGCTATAGCGTTGGATTCAAACAGAAATCGAACATTGTTCTGCCTCTCTCCCGCTTGCTTCTTTTTCGTCTAGTTCATATCACTGTAATCTCTGCCTTTTCCTTCTAACTAACTACAAGTTGAGGGAGGAGCCCCACCCATTTGCTAACTCACACAGGGCCCTTTTCCTTTGTTCTCTTAATGGCCCATCACCCAGGTGATCACCTGCCTTATATTTCAACACTTTCTGGATCCAGGGATTAGAAGGGTCTCTACATACAGCCTTTTCCCCCAAGCTCTTAACTATCCACACCCCACAAGACATCTGTTCCAAGATATACAAGCAAACAGCAATATACAAGTTCCCTGTAGAAAAGTAACAAACATGTTAGCAAAGGCATTAGAAGACACATAATCAAAAACCGATAATAAAACACAATTACACTTTTAACCCAACACCAGTATAGTAACACCTTATTCCTTTCAAGCAAATTTCCAGTCCATCAGGATCTCTTAAGGCCTTCTTCTTTCTCCTTGGTCCGCACGTCCTAGCCACACTTCTGTACCCCAAAGCAGCTTACTCAGTCTCCCACATTTGAAACCCCTCCCCTTGATTGAGTTATTCCATGCCTTTTTCTCCCTGCATGTGTCCCAGGTAATGAAGAAGGAAGTAGTGATTGTGATATTGGTATACAGTCATCCTTCTTCTTCTTCTTCTTCTTTTTTGGCAATCACTCGTAGCCGAGTAAGATTGTCTTCCATAAACACGGTTTTAACAATGAGTCTGTAAGTGACTGTGGAGGCCAATTCTGGATCCACATGTCCTTCCACAGTGGGGACATTGGTTTCCGGGCGGAGCGCGGCTTTCTCCTGATTGAAGTGCAGAGTGTTTGAGGACCAGGACATTCACAGGAAAACCAAAATGCTTGTTTACAAAGCTATTGTACTACCAACTTTACTATATGCTTGTGAAACATGGACCACTTATAAATGCCATCTCCAACTCCTTGAAAGATTCCATCAACGGTGTCTCCGAAAAATTTCACACATCACTTGGGAAGACAGGCGAACTAATATCAGTGTACTGGAAGAAGCAAAGATCACCAGTGTTGAAGCAATGATTCTTCAACATCAACTTCGTTGGACTGGTCATGTTGTGTGGATGCCTGATTATCGTCTTCCAAAACAACTACTCTATTCTGAACTTAAAAATGCACCCTTTTTCTGGGATGGATGTATTGTGAGGTAAAGCAAAATCAATTTGCCATGAGCTTTTATTTTCAGAAGGAAAATAGTTTCTCAAGAGGTGTCTTTCAGGGGGTAAAAAATATGCAATAGATCTAGATTGCATGTGGACTACATAGATTCAGACTCCATTGGTTCTAGAAATAAATTGTCATGGGTTACACAGCCACGTTTGTTGTGAGGTTAATATGCCGCATAGAGCTTCTGCAGGAAGCAATGTAATAACAAACTCTATATAATGTCCAATTTTTACTAATTCCCCAAAGGCAGAAAATTACCAGCATAGAAAATTACACATCAGACTCACATCCTGAGAATTTTGCTGTGAACTTTTTTCTTGTCTCAATTCAAGTGGGGTCAGTGATGACTGTGAATTCTCTGGGCAGAACTGGGAGCCAAAAAGGAACTGAGAGTCACTCATACTGCTGTAATCACTGGTCCAGTTCAATGGTTTGTTAGGCCTGAAACAGGAAAACAGAAAAAGCAAGTGTAAAAAATAGTAATGACAATATATTAAAAACATACAGCACAGCCAAAATATATTTGGTTCTTTATCATGCCCAAAACTGCCTAAATTCCATAACAAAACAGTATTAAATGCTTGGCAATCCTGATGAATGTTCATTTGGAGGCAGAGGAACTTCCACTATTCATCAGAAAGAGATAAGCCACAAAACATGGAATCCTAGTATGACTGATTTAAGGCCTGTATCATTCTTCTCATGGCATTCAGAAATAATGTTTTTATGTTGCTAGTAATACAATTGATCATTCCCCTCTTCCAACAAATTTAAATGTCTGAGGTTTTGGTTGAAATTACATAAGGAGAATGAACAGAAGTGGAAAATATGTCAAGAGTTCTCAGCAGCAACTGCAAATTTGATGTAACTGATTATTTTGTTATTACTTATGCCTTGGGTCACTTGTATTTTACAATTCTATATAAGGACAGAACTTTGGAAACAGGCAGTGAATCCTGCATCATCCTGAAAATCTTATTTATTTTTAAAATGAGCTTACAGTTGTGTAGAAAGGTTATAGGTGGAACGTCAGAAAACTGGGGGATGCTGAAATCCCCAGAATTCCCTGGGAAGAGGGATTGACTGTCAAACCGCTCTGGGAATTGTGACTTACTGAAAACAGGGGTCTCCTAACAACTACTGGCGCCCTTAACTAACTACAGTTCCCAGTATTCTTTGGGGGAAGATGTGACTGGTTAAAGTGGTATGATATAGCTTTAAATGGATAGGGCAGATGGGGTCTATGTTGCTACTCTGTCAATCATCCTAGACAGGGCTAGTCCTAGTCCTGGACTGAGCTAACATCAGCAGCAGTATTATGCTTCCTCAACGGAGCAAGAATGAGTAAAGCTGAATCTTTGCATCCTCTGAACCCCAGTATCAGGAAGCTCATACTGTTATGTACTGAAGTTCTCACCCTGGGCCAGTAGGGGACAATGTAGATAGTTATAAAAATAAGGGATCGAAAGTGATTGGATAGTTTTAGAAAATTGTTACAGTTACGTTGTACTGGAGCTCTATATAAGCAGGCTGACTGAACCCTTCAGTTCAGTTCTGTTCTGGCCTGTGAATAAACAAGAGCTGTTTGAAGAATCACTGTGTCGTCTGATATGTTCACCCACAACTTAACACATACAAAACTGTTTTCTCTCTGCAACTTCTTCAAAATCATCAGAATTCTTTGAAGACCCATGGTATGAGCCTTTGGTGTGTTTAGAACCCTAACATACTGCATGTAACAAAGCCATCCATTTAAATCTACATGTTTAAAAAGTAAATTTCTTCTTTTACTTCTGTGTCCTTAGCTATCCCCTAGTTTAGAGAACATTTTGAGGATTGATTTCTACCAGGCTTGCCAGATCATTCCCTTTTCATCCTTTCAGATCGTGCTTTTCTGTTGCAGCTTAAACACCGACATGCTTATTTGATGTCAGAGGCCCTATTCCAACAAAACAGCGCTTTTGCTTTTAATCTTTGCTATTTATAGGATGCCAGCCATGTTGGAACAGGAGTACTGACACATCAGAAAAATGACTGGGAAGCATATGACTGCAGAAATGCAATAAATATGCAAATGTTGTTTTAAATATAATAACATCAGACTATGAACTCAGCTGTGTACCAGATGCAGACAAAGCTCTATGCTATGCACAAATTACATCTAAAAAGGGAATGAATACCACCTACAACTGTGCACTTTCCCTCCATCCTACATTAGTAATGGAAATTGATATTTGATAAAAGTCACAATGGATTCACATAAAAATTCTTCCCAAGTCATTTAATCAGCGTGGTTTTAACATACAGTATGGGTCAGCCTTTTTCAATGCAGTACGCCAGAACTACATATTCTGTTCCAACAAAGAGGCCATCACCTGCCTATGAGATTCTGGAGGCAGCTGGCTGCTGTTAGTGACAGACTGCTGGACTAAACTGACACTTGGTTTTAAAGTAGCCTGACCTTTTACTTGCCGCCCCAGATTTCTTTTTCCTTAGGTCACCCTGAGGGCTAGTGAAGGGAGCAGGACAGTTTTTATATGCAAAGGTTGGAGGCTGTATGCTTCTGAATACCAGTTGCTGAAAAACATACGAGGGAGGAATGTGTTGTTGTGCTCAGGTCCTGATTGCAAGCTTCCCACAGGCATCTGGTTGGCCACTGTGAGAACAGAATGCTGGACTAGATGGGCTACTGGCCTGATCCAGCAAGCTCCTATGTACAGTAACTGCTATCCCACCTCCATTCCCTGGTGAAGCAGCAACTCTTGTTGGTGAGGGATGTTCTACTGGGGCTTCAGGAATAGGGTTTTGATGAGAGAAAGAGCCTTAGATTTGTACATTCAGAGCTATATTAGTGCAGTTAATTTTGCTAATTCTGCTGAGTGGAACCCTGGACAGTTGCCTCAAAGTCCTAAACTGACAGCACCACTATGTCGTCCCCCCCCCAAAAAACAGGTTTTTAGGGCTATCATTATCCCATATGGAACACACCTTTCTAAATTTATTTATTTCTTGTATATCACACTTCTTTCTCCAAAGAGCTCAAGGAGGCATACATTGCTCTCCCTGCCCTCTTTTAATCCCCACAACAACCCTTTGAGGTAGGTTAGACTGAGAGGCAGAGACTGGTGCAAGGTCGCCCAGCAAGCTTCAGGTCTTAACCCAACTCTCCAACCATGACACCACACAGGCTCCCAGTATGTGAAAAGTATTTTCCTTTGTAGTAAGCACAAAAGTCCAGCAATAGGGGACAGTGGAGAGGGCAATCTATTTGCCTGGGGGAGATCTGGCCTCCTCTGATACCATCTGTGGTTCAGGCACTAGCATCCCTGCTAGCACTTTTCACGTTTCCATCCTCTGTCATTGAGACCCTTTTCTAGCCCTGGAATGGTGTTTCTGCAATCACTGCATACAAGGGCAGTTCATGATAAAAAAAACAGGCAGTGCTCTCACCAAGTTGTACCACAGGACTGGACCTGACCTGAAGTTTAACTATCTGCCCTAATCACCACACATTACTCCACATCCACCCTGCATGTCATCCTCTGATTGACTCCCATGATGATCATAGTGTGAACAAGCTGACTTATGTCCTATGTGTTTACCTGATTCAAATAACTATTTATTTTTAAAAGTGGTGGGGAAAGATAGGGAGGGAGCAGATTCTTCCTGAGAGCATCATATATTGCTTCTGGCTGTAGCAGAAGGTTCGAGCATTTGGATTACGGTGGTATCTCGGGTTATAGATGCTTCAGGTTACAGACTCTGCTAACCCAGAAATAGTACCTCGGGTTAAGAACTTTGCTTCAGGATGAGAACAGAAATCGTGCGGTGGCGGCAGCAGGAGGCCCCATTACTTAAAGTGGTACCTCAGGTTAAGAACAGTTTCAGGTTAAGAACGGACCTCCAGAACAAATTAAGTTCTTAACCCAAGGTACCACTGTATTTAAATCAGGGGTGAGGAACCTGTGGCCCTCCAGATACTGCTGGACTACGACTCCCATCATCCCTGACTACTGGCTATATTAGCTGTGGCTTATGGGAGTTGGAGTCCAGCAACATCTGGAGGGCCACATTTTCTGATGCCCCCTTATGAGTCTTCCTATATAACTGTGCTATCCTTACACTGGGAGAAAACATTAAAATTTATTTAGATATGAATTTAGTAAGCCTTGTTTAAAAAAAAACAGACCTTGAAAACTACTAGATGGTAACACAATTAAGCAGCATGTGTTTAAATAAACGGTAAATCATGCCAGAGAAAATTAATCACACTGTTCTCCATGTTGGCTTTGTTGACTCCTTCTGCCTTACAAAATTCTATTAACTCGCCTGCCTGACGTGAGTACATTTCCCTTAATTGGCAAATAAATTATTAATTTATTTTCTTGTTTTAATCCTCCTCCTCATCCGCCATCATAGCAAAGCACAATAGCAGAGGATTTAGTGTGTACACTGGTAAATTTTTGTGACAGTTTTAGAAGGTTAATTTAGAGAGCATATGCTCAGTGGGCCAAATTGGTCACGTGGCTGTGCTGGTGTTACACAGGGGATTAATCTGTTTGTGAAATGGGTCTAAAGATTGCTACTTTGCTCCTCTCACTTTTATAAATTGCCCTGCCGCTGCTTTCTCTCGATGTCTACAACAGGAAAAACACTGGATATTTTGCTACATCCTAGATGTAGAACCTATTCTTCTGTTACTTCTTAAATGAAATACTTATAAGCAAGCTCATAAATGCAGTAGAATAAGCTCCACGGTTGTATAATGAGTAAATTGTGTTCTGAGCATCATGATTCATTTCAGCACTGTCTTCATCATGACTAGAGAGGCCCTTTCACATAATAAGCTTTGTACTGTAAACAGCACAAGGGAAATTACAGAGATAAAATGCTCGCAAAGCCTAGAATAATTTAATCTGGCGGTAAAACAGTATCTTCCACACATTTTAATATTCCCCCTCAAGTAAAATTAAAATATATTACCATGTCTGTGTTCTTGTAGTATGATATGAGATCAGACATTTTCAGAAAAAGTAACAAGTTATACATCACCTTCCATTTGATGGATGTATTTGCATGTCACCTTAAATACTACTCATATCAACCATATAAATGCAGTCTGCCCTACTTCTAAAGATGCCCTTTTTTTAAAAATCACAAGGTCGTGGGCTTCAGATTGCATAATCATGCATCGCATTGTAAATTCTAATTTAGACTAATGAAATGCTTTTCGAGCCAATTCACAGAGGCAGCAATTCCTTATTTCTCTAAAAGCAAGGACACTAGGCTGTCCAGATCACTAAGAGCTAATCTGCACATTATGAAATAGCTCTGATACGCACAAATAAGTGCTCTGAGCAGTGTAATGTTCAAAAACCATACTCGAAGACCCAGCAGGAGCTTTTCTATGTGGAGATTTCTTTATCTTGTTTTCTCCTGCTCTAGAGAGTAGGACTCAACCCAATGGCTTCAAGTTACAAGAAAGGAGATTCCGACTAAACATCAGGAAGAACTCAGTCAGGTGGCATATAAATAATAAAATTATTATTAGTAGTAGTAGTAGTAGTAGTAGTATTATAGCTGTTCAAAAGCGGGACAGACTCCATTGGGAGGTTGTGGACTCTCATTCATTTGAAGGTTTTCAAGCAGAGGTTAGATGGCCATCTGTCATAGATGCTTTAGTTGAGATTCCTGCATTGCAAGGGACTGGACTAGATGACTCTGGGGTCCCTTCCAACTCTATGATCCCCAGCATGCCACTGACATTATTATTATTATTATTATTACAATTTGTATACCACCCATCTGCAGATCTCAGGGCGGTTCACAACATAAAAATACAATATAAAAGCACAACATACCTGATAAAAACAATAATAACAAACCCATAACCCCCCAAACACATTTAATAGGGTTATAACATGTTAATCAACCAAAGGCCTGGTTGATGAGGAAGGAGCATAATGAAGGCGCCAGACTTTCCTGGGGAGAGCATTCCACAAATGAGGAGCCACTGCAAAAAAGGCCTGTTCTTGTGTTGCCACCCTGCAGACCTCTCATGGGAGGAGACACATGAAGAAGGGGGCCTCAGATGATTATCCAGGTAGTTTCATATAGAGAGAGGAGAGAGGAGCTCCTTGATGTATTGCAGTCCTTAGCCGTTTAAGGCTTTACAGGCCCAAACTATAGTTAGGGTTAGTTATAGCGTCCAAACCAGAATTGGAACCCATGGTTGGAATTTATGCACTGTCAACGATAATGACACAAGAATGCTACTATAACAATGGCAGCAATAACCTGCTTACCCCATCTTTATAGGAGTGCTAAACATCTCTTTGACATTCCAGAGATTTGGATTCATTTCCCAGGCTTGCCTGTTAAAACATAAAGAGAAATATGTGAATGTTGCAGTGTGGTACATTATTCTTCTCATACACTGTTTCATCAAGGCATCAATTTTAACAACTGTTTCCCCCACGACTGCCATGAAAGCTAGGCAGTGGAAGAAACTACCCTAAAACAAGACACAATCTCCAAGTAAATTGCTGACCACCTTGCTTCAAAAATGGATACTACCCAGGCAAATATATTGCTTTGGCTTTGTTGTTATTGTCAAGATTCTAGTGCCACTCAGCATTAAAAATCAACAGGAGTGAAATACAGAGTGCTTCAAGATGAAGTCACCTTCATCAGAATGCCAGCCCATAGATGTTTGTTTACATGTAAACTAGATTTTTCACTTCCCACAGAAAATCCAATATGTAAAAATAGCCCATTATACATTGGCAATTGTGGTTTTTCTTTTGGGGTTTTTTTGGAGGGCAGTTTGTCACATGTACGGTGTGACATTTTGATGAGTGGCCTCTGTCACCATATCTGATTCTCTTTGTTCTTCAGCTGAGCACAACCTACAGCCATTTTATTTCTGGAGGTCCCCAAAACCAAATGAAAGACATCTATTTCCACCGATTTCTACATGTTGAAGGCACCCTCAATTTGGAAGAGCAATTCTCTCATGATCACCACACAATAAATGTGTGGGGTTACCAAGGAAACTGTAATCACAATCCATATATCAGGATTTCTGCTGCTGTTGTTTTAAAAAATAATAAAAGAGCTCTTGTGGAAGGCCTCTTAATTACTCTTGCACAAACCTTATGCAAGTCAAATACTATTCTTGTGAGAGACCTCAGTATCAACTTTTCCTAACAAATAGAAATTGGTAATGCTTTTACTCATTTCCTGGCTTCTTTTTTTTAAAATGCTGTTGTTGTTGTTGTTGTTGTTGCTACATTTATACTCCGCCCATCTGGCTGAGTTTCCCCAGCCGCTCTGGGTGGCTTACAACATATCTAAAAACATAACAAAAACATCAGTCCCTTAAAAACTTCCCTAAACAGGGCTGCATTCAGATGTCTTCTAAAGGTCAGATAGTTTTTTATTTCCTTGACAAGTTTTTTATTTCCTTGACATCTGAAGGGAGGGCATTCCAGAGGGAGGGCGCCACTACCAAGAAGGGTAATGGAGGGTGGAAAAGTGATTGAGGGCAGGTACAAAACAACAAACAATGCCCAAGTTCACGATACATATAAAACACATTTGCAGTGGTACCTCTGCTTGCGAACGGGATCCGTTCCGGAGGCCCGTTCGCAACATGAATACAACACAACCCGCAGCGGCCCGTCTGTGCACACACAGGTTGCGATTCGCTGCTTCTGCGCATGCGTGTGGCATCATTTTGCACGTCTGTGCATGCGCAAGCAGTGAAACCCGGAAGTAACCCTTTCCAGTACTTCCCGGTCACCGCGGGACGCAACCTGAAAAAACGTATCATTAAGCAAAAGTAGCATGAGGTATGACTGTATACACAATACATATGAAACACTACAGATTACCCCTCACAGAGCTACAGTTCCAAGCACCTTAAACTCCTGTTCCCAGGATTCTTGTGGGCAGGGATGTGCTTTAAATATATGGTGTGTCAAGTTCCTCCAACTGGGGTAGATCAAAAGCCCTGGAATAGAAACGTATATTTGAAAAAGAAAAAAGAAATTTGGATTTGAAAAACATGCCTTTTGAAAAAATGTGTGGAAGCTGACATGCTTAGCATGCACACAGAAAAATCAGGGCTCAGTTATGACCCATGTGCCCTCCTATTACAATAGCAAATTGTGTCCCTGGCAAAACAGTGCCGACAAAAGGAGAGGAAATTGATAGCGGCATGCTTGGGGGGAAAGACGACATGAGAACATGGGCGTAGCCGGGGGGGGGGGGCAGGGGCAGTTGCCCCACCTAAATCAATACAAATCAATAAAATGACATAGCTGAGGTTCTGCACCTCCCCTAACAAAAGGCCTGCCCTCCCAAACAAAAATTCTGGCTATGCCCATGCATCAGCATCTTTGGAAAATACCCCCACAAGGAAAAACTAAGGGGCAAAATACCCCTCGCAAAAAAATGATAATATTAATTATTATTATTATTTATACCCCGCCCATCTGGCTGGGCTTCCCCAGCCACTCTGGGCGGCTTCCAACAAAACATTAAAATACGGTAATGCATCGATGCTTAGATGGCCACAGGGCGCTGCTGTCGGTTGGGCAGAAAACCAAATTCAAGATTCTGCAAGGCGGCTCCACCACGCTGCACCATTTTGTGGCAGGTCCCATGGGCGTCGCTTTGACGTTTTTATTTTTATTTTTGACGCCCTGAACGGTTCATACACCACACCCCCGGCTACTGTTACAAAGTCACTCGTGCCTGAAAGGCGCTTGAGGTATTGCTGCCTCTGCATGATTTGCAACCTGCCGCATCCCTTCCCTTGCCAATGTAAAACCAAGAGAGACTTGAGGCGAGAGCATGTCTCCCCTCTTGGGGTTGGGCTGCTGATGCAGCTCCTCCTCCCCTTTGAGAAATGTCCCTGGGTGTGTGGAGCTGACGTGCAGGCATTTGTTTAAACTGTAAAGTTAACGTGCCTCCTCCTCCTTTCTTTCAGCAGACCTTGCTTTCTTCCGCCTTGCCTGGCTTAGTGGGCGCGGGGAAGTTGTTCCGCAGCGCGCGAGAGGCGCCTGACGCTCTTCCTCAGGCGAAGCGCCTCGAGAGGCTCCCTCACGGTTCTCCCTCACGCAGCGAGGGATCCTCGCTATATATATAAAGTTTTAATGGTGGTCCACGCGCAAAGCATATCGCACACGGCCCGCACAAGTCTCTTCCCCCCCACCTCCCCCCCCCCACAGAGAGGCAGCGCCTCAATAAAAATAAGTATTGTAGTTCCTTGACCGAATTAACGTTATCGCCTCCCTCACAAGAAACGTCCTCACCTCGTTTCCACCTTCCCTTCACAGCCGGAACTCCCCATTTGGGAGCGGGCAATCTTGTTTTTCCTAATCTCACCGTCTTTTCAGAGCCCCGGGAAGATTGAAGCACCACAGACTTGGGTTACATGTACCGACATATCATCATTATTATTTGAAACTGCTTTGTTTAAAAAATAAATCGGATTCCTCCTCAAGAGAAATTCCACTCGGGAAGATCTAAACCCCTCACAACATTCAGTTGCTGTTTCAAGAGATCTCAGGACTCTTCATCCCCTGAAAGAACAATCTGGAAACCCCATTACTCCGAATATTAAGACCTCAGCAATCCCGTTTTTTCTGTGTAAAGAAATGGTAGCCAAGTCACGAGGGAACAAAAATCACAATTGTTAAGTCAATGCATATAAATGTAAATCAAAAGTTACATTTGCCCGTTGCCTAGCTCTGAACAGTCTCTTAAAAGTTCATGTGAAGAATAATAATGATGATAACGATAATAACAATAATAATGTCCGGGTGGTCATGCATGTCTATTCAGAAGTAAAAGTACCTTTCCTTTGAATCCAGTGGTGTATTTGAGTCTCAGGTTGGGGTATGTAAGCTTACAGCCTGAAAGTCAGAGAGAAAGAGCTGAAACCTATTAGGTTGCTTCAAAGCTGGTTTAATATTCATTCTCTCTACTTACAATCCTTGGAATTGAGGGAGAGGCTAGGAAATTTCTAACAGACTTTTTAACACCTCACCAATTTCCAATATTTTTTGGGGGGGGGGTGTGGAGCCATGACAGTTAAACTGCTAAAACACAAATGAAAGTCTGTAGTGTAACTAGGCGGTCCACATAATTTTTATGCAAAGCCACCCCAAAAAGCTGACACTTGTGTGGTCATTAAAGAAATGGGGGCAGAACAAGGTGCTCCTCTCAAAGGACAGAAACGTCTGATTCAGGAGACAAAAAGTGGCTAATCCAAAGAGATACAGACATGATATTATTCAAACTGGGTGTGAGCAGATATGACCCAAGCATAGGATCCTGATTCCTGCTCCTCCATCAACATGCCCTTCATTCGACCCATATCCCCCCTGGCACTGTCAGTCCCGCAGACAGAAGAGTTGTTGCAAAAAGTGTCCTTTTTGATTGCCAGTGTGAATGGGGATTTGGGAGCAATCCTACTTTACCCAGCAAGCATAAATTGGGGATAGGATGACATTGTTAGGTTCCTAATGAGCCATTCCATTAATCCTAGCCCCTGTGATTCAGGATTCCCATTCTTTTTTCCTTTATGTTACACAAAGCGCTTTGCAGTAAGCCCCGACAAAGGGCAGAACAAAGGTGTGTGAAATAAAGTGAGTTTTGGCAGGCAGCCCCTGATATTCCAAAAATTAAGACGTGGCTTTGAGCTTGCTTCTCACTGGGTAAAAGTGTGGGGGGGATATGCTTGCAGTCTCCCCATTTACTAACCTCTGCTTATCCCATAAAGAACAAAATCGAGGTAGGAAATCTCATTCCAACAGTTCAAAGGATAGAAGTCTGAAACATTCCCTCAAAACAGGTTGTGCAAACTGGCTTCCTTTAAAAAATATAAAGGCAGAAGAAGCTATAGCATATTTTTCCATGCCATACTGGAGAGGGGCAAAGTTCAGTCTAGTTAAATTGCCTGATGGACCTTCACTCAATCCATATCCAGCATTCTTGTGCTCCATTGATTTGCCTGTAGGCAAATGGCATTTTTTTCTCTTAGTGAAGTGTAAAATACAAATTCCAAATCAATCTTGAAGTGATGCAGTGTGGTGTCTTAAGTTTTGATAAGTTTTTTGTTCTTTTGCATACAGCCTGATCTGCGCTGGCCCAAGACCTTTTGGCACTTGAGGCAAACCACAACATGGCGCTCACATCCACTGGCCAGGGAAGAGGGGGTGAGTGAAGATCTACACCAGGAACAAGGTGGAGGGGAATCAAAGTAACCTTACCCAACAGCTGAAATGGGAATCAAAGGTCATTGAGGGTGGTTGGGGGGAAGGAGCCAGGTCAGAATCAAGCTGGGTGGCCGCAGAGCCCAGAAGACCCCAGAGGGCAGCCCCCACCATTTACTCCCTGGGAGTGGGAGGGAGACCAAGACATTGCTGTAGAGGCGGCATTGGTGGGGGGTGCTGAGAAAGAGACAGATCCAGCCTCCAAGGAGTGTGCCAAAGCCATTGCCACTACTGCAGTAGCAGCAGGCAATGCATATATTGGAGGTCAGATCTGCTGTCCCCATGGATCCGGCCGCCTGAGGCAGTTGCCTCAGCTTGCCTCATGGGTGAGCCGGGCCTGAGTCTGATCTTGTTCAAGTTTTCCCTAGAACTTCGCTCCCACGGATTTCAGTAGCACTTAGTTACCTGTATTTTGGATTGCAGCTTGAAGAACTTTGGTCACTATCTCTACCGTACTGGGCACAAGAATTGTAGGATTCATACTGACTTTACAGAGAGTAAAGTGAAAGCTTTACCCATTGTAGGCTTGTAATTTATGCAATCAATGATTTACTTTAGCCTTGGGGTGGTAAGACTTTCAGGTTTCTTCCTGCTGTCAGAAGGGCATGCAAATATGCAAGCAAAACCAATGTTTGTAATATATAAACGCCATGGGAATTTCACTTAGTGAGGAAATTAGAGGGAGCTAAATTTTCCCATCACAACAACTGGGTAAATAATCCATGAGCTACATATTCTCCAAGGGAAAGTTTATCAGCGTTGGTTATGCAGATGTAATGACTTATTAACTATTCATTGTTTCAATATCCTGCTAAAGAGTTGAAAAGGGAGTAATAATATTTATCTGTTTTTTTTCCTTTGTAATGATCCCACCCCCCCAAAAAATGAAAAGTTGGTGTTACTATTACTAGATACAGTAATTTCTTTTATTTTTCCTTTCTTTTTTCAATACAGTTATTTCTTGAGTATGATGGTACACCATAATGCCAACCTGTGCAAACTGAAGAGATGGTATGCTCTGTTTCAGCTTTTACATGTGAATGCCAATATTGTTAAAGTAGAAGGATACAACATGAAAGAGAAAGAGAATGTACATTCCCGCCACAGGGTTGTTTTTTTTAACATCCCAATTATATTTTGAGCTGAGCTGAGTTAAGACACTCATGTGAAAAAAGATCAGTTTTATGTTCAACTCTGGGCTCTTCCTGCTCCCTGCTGGGTTTGGTAGAGTTAAAAAGGAGGTAGGCTCAAAAGTACCTCTCAGAAGAGATACTAAATAATATAGGAAATTGATGCTACCATTGCTCACTTTAGACCACAGTTGCTATGCTGTGCATACTGATCCTGTGAGTCCATTAGACTGCCTTACCTTCAAGAATACATTTCCACAATATCCAGAAAAAAACTTACTTTAAAATTTATCTACCATAAGACTAAATATCGTTTTTAGTATGCTATACAAATCTCGTTCCCAAATAGCATGATCTGCAGAACCCCAAAGCTTCTTACATCCACTTTAACACACACACACACACACACACACACACACACTCCATATTGGATTTTTGAAACTGAGAATTAATAAAAATTATTTAACAAAAACAAACGTGTGTGTTTTGTGTGTGTGTGAAATATTCTGTTAATCATCTGCTAAATATATTTCAGGACAGGTGCAAATTATGTACATGCCAGCAAATAATACACATACTGAAAGAAACACATACTGAAAGAAACAGAGTTTGAGAGTATATTGAGGCACAGTTGGAATAGGGCCTAAGAATCATGGTGAAAGATACAGATCCATGCATAACACAAGCATATCCCCTTACCAAGTATAATTGTGCTTGGAGAGCCCCCCTCTGGCTTCTGACTTGCAAATAATTAAGCCTTCCTTTGCCACCGTGAAATATGAAAATGTATTTTTATAATTGCATTTTTAAAATGACTTCGAAAGTAGATTCTCAATAAGTCAAAATCTATGCCAGATAATGGATTTCATGCTTTTATCAGTGCATACCTCACCCTCCAAGGCACACTCCTCCATAGTCTCCCGATACAGACGGATGCCAACCAACCAACCAACCAACCAGTGTAGGCACTAAATGCTGCATACCTGCTTTGTTGTTCTCTTGCCCTTTCTTTGTGGGATTCTTCCCTTTGGCCATCTGCGCAACAAAAAATTCTATTAAATTATTCTATTAAATTATTTTATCACCATCCCACAGACTATGACAAAACTCCATGCTATTCTTACAAAGCTTCATTGGCTCCTATTGAAGACATTTCCATACACGTTAAGAAATAATGAGTTGCTCTGGCACTGTACAATTTCAGCAAGATTTGGCACCAGTTTGTTGTGTTATTTTCTGCTATTACACAGAATGTTCCCTGCTTCAGAAGTGGCTGTGGAGATTCAGTTTTGTGCTGATTGCTGGCTGGATCTCTGGGGCTCAGAAAATGAGATTTGATATTTTCAGTGGGCTTCTGTGCAAAAAGGTAACATTTCATTAAAGAAGGACATTTTCCTTCATAGCCATCTATGACAGCTAACCTCACTGTTACAGTCTCTAGTTTCTCTCCTTCACAGCACAGAGCTTAGGGCTATTGTCAAGCACTGTCTTCAAGTATATATCTGAAGGAAGTGGATTTTTTATTATTATTTTTTTGCCTCTGTAGTGACACACAAGAAGCCTTTAATCTATTAACAAGCAATGAAGTTGCCTGAAAGCAACTGGTCTCCTATTTAGTGGATGTTCTTAAGCACCTTGCCTTCCAGCACCTTTTTTACAAAATCTTCTACAAAAACACGTAGTTTTTTCTGGGCACTTAAAAAGGTTGATGTTCAACCTGGCATAAAAGCCATAACTTTAATATTTAAAGTTATTATTTCATAAATCCATTCATCTTCTCTACAACAATGGCTGTGGTGGGTAAGGATCTTGACCAGACTACCTCAACCTCAGCCCTCCAGATGTTCTGAGACTACGATTCCCATCATCCCTGACCACTGGTCCTGCTAGCTAGGGATCATGGGTGTTGGTAGGCCAAAAACATCTGGAGGGCCGAGGTTGAGGAAGCCTGATCTTGACCATATAAAATGCTTATTTGGTCCTAAATTCACACTCTTAAGGCAGATCCAATGAGTATGGCTGTGTGACAAGATGCCGTTCTACGGCTACGGTTCTGCAGACATTCACGAGGATGTATTTTAGTGGCACACGTAACTGTATCGTAATCCTAGTCCATCTCAAAGAACATATGTTCCACTATGGCACACAGCAGTATGGAGATAGTTAGAGAGAGAGAGAGAGAGAGAGAGAGAGAGAGAGAGAGACAGATAGATAGAGATAGATAGATGGATGGATAGATAGATAGATAGATAGATAGATAGATAGATATAGATAGATAGATGATAGATCAGAACCTAGCAAATGTTTTATCCCTCATGATTATAGAAATAAGTTTGAATATAAGTTGTATGACAATGTCTGCTGAAGATCAAATCTCAGTGCCAAGCCAAAGTGCCATTTTAAAGTTGTGACTATTTATTTAAGTGATTGGTTAACACACGTCACCTATTGGTATTTGATTCCTATTAAGTAAACCCCTTTCAAAGGTACTGGAACAAGCCAGGCAAGGGTTTTTATTTATTTATTTTGTCTCAAGAGCAGTTGGCAACCCTATCTACCTGTCCTTCTGACTACCCCAAACACTGTCTGAGTACTAATCACCATATTTTAATAATACAAGTTCTTTCTCAAGAGCAGAGAATGGGCTGAAATGTCACATTGAGCATCAGGCAGACATCTTGTCCCTGATCTAACAATCCATGCTTTCCGCATATAATAGTTGCTTGGCAACCATGTAAACATGGGTGGCAAGCCCTATGCCCAGGTACCAGCTAGCTTCAGGTGGCGGCTCAAATAACTGAGGGGACAGGCCACTTTTACGTGGCTCCCCTCAGATCCTGAGGGGATGCCTAGCCCGATTGTAGGGACATGGGTGAGTTCAATGTTTGTGATAAATGCTGTCTGTGGCTGTTTGTAAGGCTTCACAAACACTTTATATTCTAGAAAAAGATGACTAAGTGTGTCTAGAAATGCTTCCCTCTAATCTGGAAGTATTCCCCTCTAATCTATGGGATCTGGGATGCTTTGTATTCACTTGGGCTATATACACACTCTACCTCTGAAGAATATCTGATGCTCATTCTTTCCTGTAGAGAATCTTGGGCACTGTGGTAAAATTCTCAGCAACTTTTAACAAATCACAGTGCCCAGAATTAATTGAGGGAGATAATGGGCTTTGGAGGTATAGTCAGTGCAAAGCTTTCCAAACTGTGTCTTATGACACATTATGTGTGTCGGCTGCAGTGTGTAGGTGTGTCACACAAATGCTCTTATAAGGGGTTAGTTTAACCTCCGGCTTGCTAGTAAAACTGAATTACTGTGCCGCGAAATGATGCATGTCTAAAAAGTGTGTGACCGTCATGGAAAGTTTGGAAAGCTCCAGTATAGTGTGTACTGAGCCTTAGTGAAAAGATAAATGCATTCTGCCCTGGCTCAAGTGTTCCCTCATTTTTGTCCTTACTTCACATGTTCCAGGCCTGAGCCTTGGCAAGCCTTGGTGCAAATTAAGCCCTGCACATGAATGGAAGGTTATTAAATAAGGGGTTGAACCATAAAGAAGTCTATGGGATGAAATTAAGGGGGTTGGCTGAGGTCAGGTTAACCCTGCAAAAAATCAATTCCGATCTGTATGGGAGGGATGGTTTCTACTCAATGTCCCCATTTCCTCAGAAATGACACTCTAATGATGGGAGATTTTGTACAGCAGGATGGGTGCATGGTATGTTTAGACTCTATAATAGGACAGAAATGCTTGACTCAGATCCCGCCAGTTGTTTCTGAACAGGGCCAGCACGAACCAGTGAGGTACTCTGGATGACTCCAACTCCCTTCTCCCCACTTGCTCCCCACTGGTCCACTACTTTTGCCACAAGAAAAGGGTTAGGGAGCAAGGCCTATGGTTGCCTGGCAACCGTAGCATCCCAGACAGGAAACAGGAGTGGCCTTAGGCATATTGATGCTAGGCCAAATATAAAAATGGAAATTTCGCTCCTCCGTTAGATACATCCTGTAATCTTGAGTGTTGCCTTATGAGCTGCAAAATTCCACATTGATTTTTCCATTATTTTAGCAGCAATGGCAGCTTTTCCCTTGCTGGGAACTTAGGCTGTGTACACACCACACCTTTAAATCACAGTCAAAGCACATTTCCCCCTCAAAGAATTCTGGGCGCTGTAGATGTAACTCAGTGTGGGGTAAACTACTGTGAGGAGTATGCTCTACTCTCCATCAGCTCTTGGAGACAGTCTTTGGCCTTATGTATGAATATCAAGTAGTTAAAAATTCACCCACACCTCAAATCTTTACCTCTTGCATCCTGACTTCTTAGTCTTCCTTTTGCATCTGATCTCCTATTCTTCACTCTTTACCAGTCATGAGCAGCAGAAATACACATACCACACACCAAACGAGAGGCATAGCCATCTGCTGCCAGTGTTTTTTTTTCTAATGCTGATTTAAACTCACCTACTTAAACCCACATTTCCTTGCCCTTTTCTTGATAGATAAGATGAACAAACATTCTCCCTTTTCGTTTAGCAGCATTCTAATGTATGAAAACCTTCCAAATCTTTCCTCCCCCAACTCTTTCTTTAACATTTAAGCGTTTTACCTCAGTGATACTAAAGTACTTGACATTTTAAACAATGTACAACATTAGTATAATAATAATAATGGAAATGGTTAAAAATAAAACGGTGAGAGAGAGAAAGGAGGGGGAAGCCTGGGTAGTAAATCTCCCTTGATGCATTAATCTCATTAAGGTTCAATAAATTTAATTTGATATATAGTCTCAAAGCACTCCCAGCAATGCATGTGGATTTATATTTTCCTGTACCTTATTCCCCCAATATACAATAAAAATGATAACATTGTTAACAAAAGAATCATAATCTTGTCTTTCCCCTCTCAGTCAGATCATACTAGTCTGTTTAACCATGCAGGCTACAATTCATACTTTGTTTAGCCAAACATGCAATCAGGCATTCTTCCGATTATAGGGAATAAAAAAAAGGAATAGTGATCTGTCTGAGTGGCATCACAGTCTTAAGCAAGTCAATATACCATATTTTTTGCTCCATAAGACACAGATTCAGGCTACCCTGAATCTTTTATTTTGCTGAATAAACGCCATAAATATATTTTGCCAGGTATTTATAATTTAGGGAAGTACTCTAATTGGAAAATTCAGAAACAAAAATAAATTTTTGGGTAAAATTTTAGAAATGTTAATTCCCCTAAACAATATGTTTTCAACAGCAACCAGTTTTTAGTATATCTTTGACTTTAAACACCAGCTTGTCATGATTGTATTCAAATACATTATTTAGGTCTTATGATATATGCCATAATATATAACTGGAGAATCTTACCCAGCCACTCAGATTTAGTACAGTTTATGTTATATCCAGAAACTTTGCTAAACTTGTCCTTTACATCAAGTAGCAGACTAATTATATTTTCCAGACCTTTAACATATAAGACCACATCACCTGCGTACAAGCTAATTTCAAAATCTTCCTAGGCAGCTTTAACACCTGTTATCATCTGGTTAGATCTAATAATTTCTGCTAGAGGTTCAACAGATAATGCAAACAAAAGCAGGGACAGAGGGCAACCCTGCCTTGCTTGTCTCTTTAAACAAAACCTTCAAAATGTTTTCTCCCCCCTGTTTTCTTTCTTCCTTTCTGCAAGGTAATATATACCTTTCCTACAGTTTTTCCCATAACAGCACTCTCTGTGGGTAGCACGGCCAGGAATCTATCGCATGAGACACATTGCTGAGATATAGGCATCAAAGCCTACCAACCAAGGTGGATAAAAGATGGAATTGTACTTTTATTTTATAGCGGTGAGAAACTGTGACCTCAAAAATACTGCAGAGGCCTGACAATGTGTGCAGAAAAGTGGTCTTTATTTGTCTACTGCTGTTGCAACACAACACAAACCAATTTAGAACAGCTCCTCTACTTTTTGCCGTAACCAGGGCAGTTAGTTCTACAATCTCAGGCTACAACACAAAATACTGAGACTCTTTTAAAAAAATATTGTCAGTTTACTGGGCCACAAAGAGAGGTTTGGATACGTGCAGGCAATGCCTGATGAAAACTCAAGAGTGGAGCTGAACATTATTTTTGACTGTCGGGGACTGAAGCTTCCATTGGTGCTGTCAGAGTAGGATTTTGGGGCAGATGTCCAGGGTTCCCATTTTATATCCTGAAACTTTGCTAAACTTGTCCTTTACATCAAGTAGCAGACTAATTATGTTTTCCTCAAAGGCCCTCAAAGGCAGCTGGCTCACCACAGTTGGAAGTTAGTGAAGTAATTTAGGTAAATTAAGGTAAAGGACCCCTGGGCAGTTAAGTCCAGTCAAAGGCGACTATGGGGTTGCGGCGCTCATCTCGCTTTCAGGCCGAGGGAGTCAGCATTTGTCCACAGACAGCATTCCGGGTCATGTGGCCAGCAGGACTAAATCGCTTCTGGCACAACGGGACACCGTGACGGAAACCAGAGCGCATGGAAATGCCATTTACCTTCCCGCCAGAGCGGTACCTATTTATCTACTTGCACTGGTGTGCTTTCAAACTGCTAGGTTGGCAGGAACTGGGACAGAGCAACGGGAGCTCACTCTGTCGCGGCGATTCGAACCGCTGACCTTCTGATTGGCAAGCCCAAGAGGCTCAGTGGTTTAGACCACAGCTCCACCCATGTCCCTAGTGAAGTAACATACATTGTCCCTAAACAGGGAGAGACCCTGCAAGGTCCAGAGTCCAGATGTCTGGAGACAACAGTTACCTAAACATACCACTAGAAGCCTCAGTACGCTTTTACCTCTTCGCCCTTCAACCTACCTACAGATATTCCGATTGTCTCTCTTTATCAGGGAAAGCACCTTTTCCTGATCCCTCTCTCTGCTAAACCACCACCCTTATTTTCGTATTTGGGAGATTGCCTTGTTTGAATTTGAATATGGGATTTAAATATGGGGTTCAGCTCCTTCCATGGGCAAGTTAAAGTTTTAAATGGGCAGATGCAACTTGTGTCCAAGGGACATAGACATGCATTTCACACCCTGTACCTGCTGAGATTTACAGTACAGTGGTACTTCTGGTTACGTACTTAATTCATTCCAGAGGTCCGTTCTTAACCTGAAACTGTTCTTAACCTGAAGCACCACTTTAGCTAATGGGGCCTCCTGATGCCGCTGCGCGATTTCTGTTCTCATTCTGAGGTAAAGTTGTTAACCCGAGGTACTATTTCTGGGTTAGCAGAGTCTGTAACCTGAAGCGTATGTAACCCGAGGTACCACTGTATTTTGAACAGTTGGTAAACAAATTTGTAGGATAATTATATTTTGCAGGCGTCTCTTTAACTAGAAGAATCATTGCCCTCTTGACTTTTCAATCATTGCGGGGCAGGCTAATGCAGAGAAAATTAATAATAGTGCAGAGTAAATTAATATAGTGCATGGGCAATGAAAAGACTTTAATTATACATAATACTGAGGGGCTGCCTCATTAAGTGATCCTTGGTTTGAAAATGGGAGTGTTCTGGTAAGAACACCACTATGGCTCTCAGTGCTGGAAGCTACAACGGTAAAGAAAAATAATAGGATAGAAGGGTGGACAACTTGAAGAAACTTAATAAAACAAGAGGGAGGAGAGTACAAATTTAAAGAATTTAAGGAATTATCAGGGAAATTAACTACATGGTTAAAATATTATTTGAATGAAGTATTTAAGAAAGATAGGATACGAGGGTTTGGGGAACAAATGTCACAACTGGAGAGAGACCTGTTGGGATGTAATGTAAAAAAAGTGTTGTCTTGAGGAATGATGAGATAGAATCCACTTGCCCCCAGCAGCCCCTGCCCCGATGGTGATCAGAAAATGTCTGCCTGAGGGAAAAGTGTAGAAATCAGCTCAGCAGTTAGAAAATAGAATCTACTTGACTCAGCAGTCCAACACCCAAAAGGTACCCTATGAGCAGAAAATGTCTCCAGAACCATCCCCCCACAACCCCCACTTTCGAGTTTGCCACAAAATGCTGTGTAAACTGGCTGGTCAAGAAAGTCAGTCACAAGGAGATGAGCTACCGGTAACTGTCCGTGTTATGTACTGAAGTTCTCACCCTGGGCCAGCAGGGGGACACTGTAGATAGTTTTCACTCAGGTCCACATATGCGAATATCGGATTGAAAGTGACGTTCAGTGATTGGATAGTTACAGAAAGTGGTTACTGTTGCATTGTAGTGGAGCTCTATATAAGCAGGCTGGCTGAACCCTTCAGTTCTGTTCTGTTCTGGCCTGTGAATAAACAAGAGCTGTATAAAGAATCGCTGTGTCGTCTGATATGTTCACCCACAACTTAACAGTCTGGTGTCTGTTTTTAAACTTGCATAGGTCAGCTGAATATGGGCAAAAAACCAGCACAGACTGGCAGTTGCAGACAGGACAGGAGGGGAGCGGGGAAGCGGCTAGAAGAGTTCTGTTTTTGCCTGCTATTGTAATGTCTCCCAAAAACAGGAATTGTTGAGACAGACTCCCAGAAAGAGGAACTGCTTAGGAAAGGACTTTTGTATTGCTTGTTTGCAAAACAATGTAATCTCGCTCTGCACATGCTCTTGTACCCGTGTCTGGAAGTTGTTTGTGACACACTGTAAAGGTAAAGGTAAAGGTAAAGGGACCCCTGACCATCAGGTCCAGTTGTGACCGACTCTGGGGTTGCGGCGCTCATCTCGCTTTATTGGCCGAGGGAGCCAACAGACAGCTTCTGGGTCATGTGGCCAACATGACTAAGCCGCTTCTGGCAAACCAGAGCAGCACACGGAAACACCATTTACCTTCCCACCGGAGCGGTACCTATTTATCTACTTGCACTTTGACGTGCTTTCGAACTGCTAGGTTGGCAGGAGCAGGGACCGAGCAACGGGAGCTCACCCTGTTGCGCGGATTTGAACCGCTGACCTTCTGATCGGCAAGCCCGAGGCTCTGTGGTTTAACCCACAGTGCCACCCGTGTCCCGACACACTATAAAAGTGAGCCCCAAATAGTAATCGGGGCTCAGCCTTTGAGAACGATCTCACTGACCTTCCTTGAAGAACCCGGAGCCTGTCGTTATTGACTAGGACAAATTCTGCAACAGTCTAAAATGTATAAAATATTATTGGAATGGGAGACAGAGAATGAGCAAGTAAAATCCTCAGTGATACACTGGGCCATAGATATGGGTCATAATATAGACATGGCAGCATGGGAACGATGGTGGAACGTGGATATAAAATTTACAGCATGTTATGGTTTAAGAGAAAATTATATGAAAATGATGTATCATTGGTATCTAACACCGAGTAAACTGGCAAAAATGTACAAATCTAAATCAAACAAGTGTTGGAAATGTAAAGAGAAATAAGGTTCTTTTTATCATATGTGGTGGTCTTGTAGTAATGATATATAATGAATTGAAAAGGATGTTTAAAATAACCTTTGTAAAAAAACAACAACCAGAAGCTTTTCTTTTGGGCATTATAGGGACAGAACTACCTAAATTGTATAGAAATTTATTTATGTATGCTACCACAGCAGCAAGAATGCTACTTGTAACTGGTCCCAAAATGGAAAGAAGCAGAAGTCCCAGCAAAGGAAGAATGGATGCAAAAACTTATGGAATATGCACAAATGGCGAAACATACCAGAAGAATAAGAAATCAAGATAACAAACTTTTTTTTAATAAAAGAAACGAAATGGTTTATTGAATATTTACAGAAAAATGGCAAACAGATAAAAACATTGGCAGGATTATTGTAATAACCTGCAGTTTCATAAGAGTATATATTTAAAGTAGATAATTAAATGAGCAAATCAAATGAATTTGGATCTGCAGAAGATATTAAAAAATAAATTTAAGGAACCGCAGAAAGAGGGGGAAGGAAGTCAAGCTTTGAAATGTTAAAATGATTGTAAAATTAATGAGATGTATAAACCTGGAAAGTATAAATAAAAATTAAAAAATAAAATACAGTGGTACCTCGCAAGACGAATGCCTCGCAAGACGAAAAATGCGCAAGACGAAAGAGTTATCCGTTTTTTGAGTCGTTCCGCAAGACGAATTTCCCTATGGGCTTGCTTCGCAAGACGAAACGTCTTGCGAGTTCTTGCGAGTTTGTTTCCTTTTTCTTAATGCCGCTAAGCCGTTAATAGCTGCTAAGCCGCTAATAGCCGTGCTTCGCAAGACGAAAAAACCGCAAGACGAAGAAACTCGCGGAACGGATTAATTTCGTCTTGCGAGGCACCACTGTAAAATGGGAATGTTATATCCCTCGTTTTGATGGTAAAATGTTGGCGGATATGTAAGTAGCAGCTGTGGCGGCTAGCCCTAACTCCTCCCATATCTGCTATAGTGACTGTGCTGGACAACAGACAACAATGGTTATAGATTCCAGCTTCTTGGCACAGAATGCTTACTTTAGTGCAGTGTTCTGATTGATTGGTTTTTAATGCAGAGTACAGTGGTACCTTGGTTTTCAAACGCCTTCGTACTCAAGCAACTTGGAACCCAAACACTGCAAACCCGGAAGTAAGTGTTCCAGTTTGCAAACTCTTTTCGGAAGCCAAACGTGCTCCGTTTTGAGTGCCACGCTTCCGTTTTGAGTGTTACGCCGAGGTCTTTGCTATTTATTTTGCGTTTTTGTTTTTGCGGCTTTTTCGTTGTGTTCTTGTGACTATGTGGAACCCAGTTCAGCTACTGACTGACTGACTGTGTGACTGCAGTACATTGTTTATTGATTTCATTTTATGGATCAGCGGTCTCGTCAGATAGTAAAATCCATGTTAAGTTGGTGTTTTAGGGGTTGTTTTTAAAAGTCTGGAACGGATGAATCCATTTTGCATTACTTTCCATGGGAAAGCGCGCCTTGGTTTTGGAACGCTTTGGTTTTGGAACGGACTTCTGGAACGGATTAAGTTTGAGAACCAAGGAACCACTGTATACTCAGTGTCCCAGATAGCTCTTTTGTTGTAAAGACTGGTGTAGATTATGGCTTTCCAGTCCCACATTGATGGCTGGATGATGTTGCACACAACCAAAAATACCTTTTCAGGCAGAATGCTGTTTCGGTGAGGGCAAGAGGGCAGCCTGGAAGTGGGGCGCAGCTGGGCATTCTCTACCAGCCATGTAGACTGGCGCAGATCAGCTCAAATTGAAGCTCCCCTTATGTCTGGTCCGTGGTGATCAAGACTGTCGAAACATGACTCTCAGCCCTCCCAAACGAAGCTCTCTTGACAAGTCCTTGGCTGGCGTAACGTGGCCAAGAGATCCCCCGTGGGAAGCTGGCCTGCATCATCGGAGACTCGCCTGTCTGCTTCTTGCCCTCGCCCGAAGAGCCTCTTTTCTTGTCGGTAATAAGAATAATGACAAACCCCTGCGAGATCCTTTCGTAGTTGTCAGAGGCAAAGTGTGACCTTCCCGTGGCCCCTATCAAGCTCACCAGCGAGTTTGGAGAGGCGACTGGATTATGTTGCTCAATTGCTAATTAGGGTCTCCTTGTTGCCTCTCTTGCTCCAGCACGCCAACGGTTTCTATGGCAACTACAGAAGCAGATGCAGGAGCGACTTCACCCAGGAGTACCGCAAAGCAGCCCAGCCGCAACCTCCTGAACTCTTCCTGAAAAGAATGAAGGTGAGTGACGGGTCAGCTCCTTCGACAGGCTCCCACTGGGAAGAAGGCAAATGAAAGCCTTCATCCTTACCAGACCTCCTATCTGGTTGTTAATAGGGACAAATGGAATGAAAGGGCCGTATGGGCGTGCTGTGACTAATCTCAATTTGCACAGAGGAAGGCATGAAACGTACTGGAAGTAGGCCTCAGTGCATTGCCGTGGTTAAGATCTGGGAGAGAAAGTTCTCATCTCAAGTTCAGGTATTTAACTCTTTGACCACAAATCTTCAGGCTTTTCATACCTGAGACCCACCTTCAACCTGTGGCTACCCTTTTTTAAAAAAATAATAATTTTAAAAAACCTATTTATTTTCCAACTGTACACAGCATTCCAAATGCGGTCACGCCATGTAGCAGCATTACAATATTGGCAGTTTTATTTTCTCAACAGCCCATCTGGCTGTTAAGCAGGAAGTTGGTGGTTCAAGCCCACCCAGGGATGGCTGTGGGCAGGATCCGTGCATTGCAGGGGGTTGGACTAAATGACCCTCAGGGTCCATTCTGTTGTAAACAAAATCTGCCCTTCTTCCCTTATGGGGTATCCAAGAGCCCATACAGAGTCCTTAAGTGGGTTCCCGATCCGTAGGAGAAAATAACAGAGGCCAACCAGAGAATATTGAGAAGCAAAGCAGATAGTAAGCCTGATTTTTATTAAAGCTGTTGCAACAGGGTGCTCCCCTCACACGCAGGAGAACAGAGGAGGACCCAGAAAAAAGGGGTGCCTGCCCTTATATAGACATTTTAAATTCCCTGCCCTGGAGCTCAAGACCACCCCTCCATACATCATACATACATCACAGAAGGGGTGTAACCCAAGACCACACCCCACAAACATCATACCTACATCACAGAAAAAGCAGTCTGCAACAGAAATTTGAATGTTGTTGTTTTTCCTGTCTGCCAGGTTATCTGATAATGCCTTATCTGATTGCCTTTATTGGTAGTCTGGCCATTCCTTTGAGATGGTGATTACCCAATTCCTGAGACAATGGGAAGGTTCCTCCCCCCTCCCCCTTGCAGAGAAAACATTTGGTCAGTTTGGGAGTCAAAATGGTTTCAGGACGGTCTTCCTGTGCTGCTCCAGACATGTGGCCCACATATCTATGTACAGTGGTACCTTGGGTTAAGTACTTAATTTGTTCCGGAGGTCCGTTCTTAACCTGAAACTGTTCTTAACCTAAAGCACCACTTTAGCTAATGGGGCCTCCTGCTGCCGCCGCGCCGCCGGAGCCCGATTTCTGTTCTTATCCTGAAGCAAAGTTCTTAACTTGAGGTACTATTTCTGGGTTAGCGGAGTCTGTAACCTGAAGCGTATGTAACCTGAAGCGTATGTAACCCGAGGTACCACTGTACGTGCTTGGCTGGCACATTTATGAACATTTATTATATATATAAGACCTTAAATTTTTATTTACACTTCCAGCTATACGATTCTATGATATTCAGTTCCCTTCCTAGTGATCGCTACCATGGAATGTGCCTTTTCCTCCACACACTGAGTCAAGATCTTCCTGCATCACAACCCCAAGGTCTCATTTCTGATCAGTCAACTCATGAGTGTATACTGTATATGAACATGCTTCACTTTTACACTCGTTTACACTGGATTGCATTTGCCATTTTACCACCCAGTTTAGAAAGGAGCTTGTCCCAAACTGCCGATTTTATCCCATTTGACCCTTCGCTGACGTGGAATTAATTTGAGCTAGAACAGCAGGCAGGCTCCTGAATCCCTGGTGCTTGATTTTTCTGCATAGTGTTGCAAGAATATGTCTTCCTGTAAAGCATAATATGTCATGCTGTAAAGTAAAATGCTTTTCTGATCGGAAAAATCTATTTAGGAAGATGTGGTTATATTTTTGTGCTTCCATTACGATCAGTTTTAGGAGGTTGTGAATATCGCACTGTTAGGACTTATGCTAGATGCTGCTTAAAGCTTTAATAACTAAAATGCAGCTAATTGTTTGTTAATTATCTTCTTGCTGTTTTTAATAGCTGCCTTGAGCGCTTTTCTAGTGAAAGATGGATATAAATTTCTCAAATAAAACAAAAATGAAAGGTAAAGCAAATTCCGTGCGCCCAAGGTTACATTAGTGGAAATTCTTCTCTATCCTCTGTTTACTGAGTAAAGGAGTAAAGGTAAAGGGACCCCTGACCATTAGCTCCAATCACGGACGACTCTGGGTTGCGCCGCTCATCTTCCGGGTCATGTGGCCAGCATGACTAAGCCGCTTCTGGCGAACCAGAGCAGCACACGGAAACACGTTTACCTTCCTGCTGGAGTGGTACCTATTTATCTACTTGCACTTTGACGTGCTTTTGAACTGCTAGGTTGGCAGGAGCAGGGACCGAGCAACGGGAGCTCACCCCGTTGCAGGGATTCGAACTCCCAACCTTCTGATCGGCAAGCCCTAGGCTCTGTGGTTTAACCCACAGCGCCACCCACTTTGTACTCATCCTAATTTGCTTGCGAGGAGGTTAAGATGGCATTGGCTCAAGCAGCCTTCCAGTCCAATATTTTGGGGAAACAGGTTTGTAGCGCAAAACCTCCCAGTCAGCTATAATTTTGGAACCTGAATTTGCAGATACATGACCCGAGAACAGCTACAGTCTGGAAGAACCCTCTTGTCTCCTGCTCATGAGAGGGATCCATTGTCGGTAGTTTCTTTCCTGCCTTTCGGAGGACCAGGTTGTCCTTTGTTATTGTGGTATGGAAGTGCCAGCCCTCCTCTTTATTAAATCTATCTGCTGGGATTTCGGGTAGCAGCTAAGCTCTCTTTAATTGCTTTGCGATATCTCGAGCGGCATGTTGTGGATTAGGCTCCTCCTGCCCCCACATCCTGGCACTGACAGCCGGAGACTTGGCATCTGTCCCCATTAAGCGAGGAAGACAGCTGCCTCTTAATTCTCTTCTGGGAACCCACAGCAGTTTTGACAACAGGTAAAGCCACGGCTGCTTCTCGTCCTCTGCGCCACTGCGCCTGGAGTCCTGTCACCTCGCAGCACTGCAGAGGCAGGAAACGGAGCATCGTGTTGTGACAAGGGGCTTAGCTCATGTGACTCTGCATCTGTGCTGCTTGGATAATCTCTTTCTCTGATCCTTTCGGTTTGCAAGGGAGAACTCCCACTGCTGATTCCCAAGCCCAAGCGCTCGTCCTCAGCTTATTTCATGGAGGGGAGAAATGATATAGCTCAGTATTTTATCTGTGGGAGATCTAATCAGGGTGATCGGATGCAAAGGCAGGGGCTTGCGTTCGCTTAATAGTTCTGCCTGTTTGAGCAGGCACTTGTTTTCTGACCCCTGCAGCATTTTGGGATTACAAACTGTACCTGTTGAAAATCCCTCACCGGCAATATTTTATTACAGTTACAAAATCCCTGACAGCTTGTGGGCTGGATATAACCCCCAAAGCACTTTATCTGGTCTCTAGTTACCCCGTACTACATGTTAATTATGTTGTGGCAAAGTGTTTGCTAGCAGTTTCACCGGTACGGAAAATATTGTTTTCAAAAGCTGTAAGAAACCAGAGGCGGAGTCTCTCTCTGGGTTTCAAAGCCCATGCTGATCGAGAGGGTCAACTTTATTTATAAAGCCTCAGCAACAATGAAGACTTGGCAAAACGCCTCTCCTACCCAACCTTGAAATTACAGGGTGGCTTTAGAGAATATAGAAGCAAAGGGTCATAATTCAGTGGCAGAGGTACATGCCTTGCATGCAGATAATCCCAGGCTCCATCTCCTCCGAATAAAAAGGTAGCAGGTTTAGAAACAACTTCTATACGAGGACCAAACTAGATGTGATATTTATCATATGGTTGCCCTGGTGCACTTGATCTTTAAAAAATTAAAATAAATTGCTGGTACAGCCCATCCTCGCAAGCCGGATCAGGACTATACTGTGTGTGGAGGGGGCCTTAAACCCTTTTCCTCTGCCTTGTTCCCAATGAGAATCCACATAACCCCATGAGCCCAGGAAGGCGAAGCAAGGCCAGGGAGAGTTTCACAGGAAAGGATGAGAAGTTGCTTGTGGATCCAGGGGAGAACAGAAAGATAGTATTGGGGGGATACAGGCAAGGGAATCACAATGTCAGAGCGACGAAAACAGGGATTCATTTTAGCAGCAGTCCTGGGTAGATTGAGCAGGCAAAGGTGAGCTATCGGAAGGCCAGAGAAAAGATTATTGCAGACTGTAATTGTTATGTACTGAAGTTCTCACCCTGGGCCAGCAGGGGAAAACTGTAGATAGTTTTCACTCAGGTCCACATATGCAAATAAGGGATTGAAAGTGACGTTCAGTGATTGGATAGTTACAGAACATGGTTACTGTTGCGTTCTAGTCTATATAAGCAGGCTGACTGAACCCTTCAGTTCAGTTCTGTTCTGGCCTTTGAATAAACAAGAGCTGTTTGTAGAATCGCTGTGTTGTCTGATATGTTCACCCACAACTTAACAGTAATCACTGGGGGAGATTAACAGGAGCACGTACCAGATGTTGCATCTTCAGTGGTGCAGAACAGGCTATGCTGGCTCCAAATATGATAGGGCCAAGGAGTGTAATAGCCCTTGGGGTGTGGTTAGTATGGGTGTGAGCTCACCTACTAGGTTCGCCATCTGCGCCTTGTCTCTGCTTTCTAGGCAGCAATATACAAGACACCCAGGTACTAGGATTAGTGATATCGCCCAAAAGCGGTTTGAAGTCCATATCATGATATCAGTTCCATAGGTTTTTGCGAATCATGAGAATCATGATGTGTATTAGAGCTGGGCAATATATTGTCCCAAACCAGTTTGAAGTTCATATCGTGATATTGGTTTCATAATTTTTGACCCGGCAATACATTGCAGATCATTACGTGTGTGGGTGCTGTGCAAAAAATCACAATGGGGGGAAAACCGTGAAGCCGGCCAATGCCTGTACATAGCTCCATCCTTATTTCAGACATTGTGATATATTGGTGTATCACGATGCTGAGCTGGTGATATATCGCGATGTTGAAAAACCAGATCCAGCCCAGCCCTACCAGGTACCACACAAGAGGGTTATTTATTGCTGTCATTCATGAGAAGACATTTGCTTCTGAAGAACCACATGGGGCAGCCTCCAGTCCAAGGCCTGCACTAGGAGAGAGACCCTTCCTCCAAAAAGAAACTAAAATTTGTAGCCAGTATAATGTACAGGCACCTATACACACTGTACTTCACAGTGAGGGGCTAGCTAGTACCTTATACACTAGCTTTCAGCATGATTCGGAAAGACATGGAGCATCAGCGAGGTATAGGCAGTGCATTACAAAATGCAGGAGAGCAATTCTGGCTTCAGCTTGTAAAACAGAGAAATTCCCTCTAGCCGGACTGACTGAGATTAGTTGTGAGGGAGAATTTGCTCTAAAAGAGCCAGCACCTCACAAACACTTTTAGGCAGCATATAAATGTCGGCTTATAACAATCAGAGACCTGTAGCAAAATATGTGTTTGGCTATTTCGATAGGATAAATACAACCTGTGCATCTTCAGCTCCTTGGCTTGACCGCCCTGTTGGCTCCTAGGGATGCACAGGGATGCCAGCTAAGGCAACAGAATAAGCTCCTGGATGATGCAAAACTGATCTCCAGCTGCCAACTTGCAAGAGCTTTTCAGACATCAGTGAATGGCACAATTGACTCCCTTAGAATGATTCCTCCTGATGAAATTCATCTGCTAACAAAGCATCCCTTGAAGCTGACATCTGCACAGAGAACACAAGAGCACCTCCCATTTTGTCATAGGCTGGGGAGCTCTGGATTCAAGAGAGGAAAGGGTCTTAGCCCAGTGCTTTGCAGGATAAGGCCCCACAGGTGTACACTCTGATAATGTGGGTGGGCAAGAGCACTCCTCATGAGACACAGAGCAGGTACAGAGTGACAAACACACCACAGCACCTGAAGCCCTGCCATCGGTCAGCCGGGGTGGAAAAAGGGAGCGATTTTGTTTATTCTATTGCTGTGCCAGCCTGAGAGGCCCTTGGGTGGCCTGTTCAGCTCTGCTTCCCACAAAGACCAAAGTGTCTGGTACTCCCATCTCTAGATGCCCCAGTTACAGGTTCCCTGCTGCTTACCACCAGAGAGAGGATCGCCAGTGATAGTTCACTCCCCACTTGAGTAGAGGTTGGACCTTCTGCGAGGACCGCAAGCCTAAGACTAGGCCTTGTATGCCTAGGAATAGAACAGTGTGTTTTCTTTTGTTTTTCATTACATTTTATTTTGAAAATAAATACAGTGAAATCACTAATTAAGAGAAAAGGGGGGAATCAAACTCACTAATTCCTGGTTTTTTTTTTGTATATCAACATGGGTGGGCTTATGAGATAGAGTGAAAACAAAAAGGCTGTGTAGAGACTCACTGGTTGTTACTGACAGTTGTGGGTATTTGGATAAGTTATGTATCTATGAGTCATTTCTTGTTTCTGGATGGAAGCTGTGGAACAGGCAACTGACGCTTTTATTCTTCACTCTCTACCAGTCCTGAGCAGCAGAAATATACGTACCAAATGCAGCACACCAAGCAAAAGGCATAGCCAATTGGCTGCTGCTAGGGTGGAACAGTTGTGGAACAATCAATTGACCCTTTTTAGATCCAAGGGGCTTGGCCTTATAGAAAGAATCCTAGAGGCTTCAACGTAGGATAGACTGAAGCCCAAATTCCAGTTTCCTTGGCCAAGACATTGCTGTTTACCTGAATGCATACTGGAAGGTACTCTGTACAATAAAAAACACACACACATGCAATATTTATTCTATTTTACCACCTTTGTATCAAACCCTTCTGTAAAGGATTTCAGGGATTTTCTTTTGTGCAGAGATTTACCCAATTTTCTCCTCACAACAATTCTGTGAGGTACAAAATGGTAAGAAAGCGTGACTGGCTGAAGGTAGTTCAGCAAGCTTCGTGAATTGTGACTGAGTGGGGGTTCCATTCCAAGTCTTCCCCAGTCTGCCCAGTATGGTATGTACTGGATAGGGATAGCTTGACCACACTTGTCCATGCATTAGTAACATCATGGTTGGATTAGTAAGATCATGTTAGTAACATGATTAGTAACATCATGGTTGGATTAGTAACATCATGGTTGGATGTGGGGCTATCCTTGAGGTTGGTCCGGAGGCTGAGCTACTGCAAGGTAAAGGATCCCTGAATGGTTAAGTCCAGTGACCAGGCTGCTTGTGGGGCAAACTACTGCCAGTATATAATACAGTGGTACCTCGGGTTAAGAACTTAATTCATTCTGGACGTCCGTTCTTAACCTGAAACTGTTCTTAACCCGAGGTACCACTTTAGCTAATGGGGCCTCCCGCTGCTGCCGCACCGCTACCATGTGATTTCTGTTCTCATCCTGAAGCAAAGTTCTTAACCCGAGGTACTATTTCTGGGTTAGCGGAGTCTGTAACCTGAAGTGTCTGTAACCTGAGGTACCACTGTACGTTGTTTGTAGGATTTTCACCAACTGCGAATCTGCCACCCATAAGGCCCTATATTATCTCAGGACCAGGTTGTGGAGAAGCGAGGATGCTCAGGAGAGCCTTTCACACTGACTTGCTTGCCCAGCTGCAGCTCAGCAGCTCTGCAGGGCTGCCAGTTGAGTCTTAATCTAAGGTAGTTGCTGCCATTATCCTCCCACTTATTTCTTGCAGCCAAGGTGCACCTGGGGCGCACCAAAATTTTGTTGTTTTTCTTAAGGCTTCAAGCCAGTACAGCTGCACTCATTGGCTCAACCTACACACAAACTTGCTGGGGAAAGCAAGGCTAGCTTCTAGCTGCCTTTGCCCAACCCAATATCAAAGCAGCTTGCTCATTACCCTGGTAGTTCCCCTCCCTAACTTCCCAAAGCCCAGGAACTCTGAGATCAACTCACCCAGTGTTTCACAAGCAGTTCCCTTACACGTTACTCAGTGTGTAAAGGCAGCCCACATTTCACAAGTCTTTCCCAGATCTCATAAAAAAAATGGGTTGGTCTCTTACAACTCTGATCTAAACAGTAGCCTGGATTCCAGAATCCCGAGGCTTGCAATTGCAGAGTTTTATGGCCTAGTTGTGAAACTTTACTAGAAAGAAAAGGTAGGGGGGAAGCAGGCAGAGGGTGAAAACAGAATACAAAGCAAACCAGAACACTGTGGCTCTAAAACTGGGCTAATCCTACCCTACCGACTACAGCAGCTTTTCTCAGCCTTGGGTTCCCAGTCGTCTTGAACTACAGCACCCGAAATCCATAGCTTCCCAGTACGAATCCCTCTCCTTTGGGCCAAATTTGCCCTCACCTGGTGTTTGAAAGCAGATCCCATCTTTACCCCACTGGTACAACTGCAGGGTGTGGCGTCTGGCAGGGAGCCGTGGGCTAATCTCTGCTTGTGCCCTTTTCCAGGAAACCCCTTCAAAGCACATATTCTCTAAGCACGACAACAGGCACGCCTTCCCAGGATCAGCTACATATTTTGAGAACGTGAGTGTGATTGGTTTCGGGGGGGCAGAGGTGTGGGGGCGGGGAAGGTTTTTTGGCCCTTTTCCTCTTATGCAGCAATAGAGCCGGTAGAGAAGTTAATCAGAGGAGTGCTTGATTAGAGACACCGGTTTCATTCCTAATGTGATTAGCTCTCCCTTGGCAGGCTCCAGGGCTCCCTCAGGAACTGATGACACCAACCGGCTGCCTCTGCAAAAGCACTAGTTAAGTGCTCTTAGCTGCACGAAGTAGCCTGAGGCTTTGCCTTACACGTCTAGTGGGTGCCTGTTACACTCAAGCATTCAGGGTCAGCTGCCGCAGGGACAGGACAGAGCTGGGCAAGGGTTAGGTTCAGCACTGGAGTGCTCCATACCGCATCAGGTCCCTTAACTTTCCCGCCCCGACCTGGCCACAGTGATCCACGTGACGGTCACCTCCAGGCTTGACTACTGTAATTCGCTCTACGCGGGGCTGCCCTTGAAGCTGTCCCAGAAACTCCAGCGGGTGCAGAATGCTGCAGCGAGGCTCCTCACGGGGTCTCTGCCATGGGAGCATATTCACCCAGTGCTTTTCCAGCTGCACTGGCTCCCGGTGGAGTACAGGGTCAGATTTAAGGTGCTGCTTTTGACCTTTAAAGCCCTTCTTCACGGCCTAGGACCCTCGTACCTACGGAACCGCCTCTCCCGGTATGCCCCACGGAGGACCTTAAGGTCCATAAATAGCAACACCCTAGAGGTCCCAGGCCCTAAGGAAGTCAGATTAGCCTCAACCAGAGCCATGGCCTTCTCAACACTGGCTCCAGCCTGGTGGAACGCTCTGTCTCATGAGACCAGGGCCCTGCGGGATCTGATTTCTTTCCGCAGGGCCTGTAAGACAGAGTTGTTCCACCTGGCCTTTGGCTTAGAATCAGTTTGATTCCCTCCCCCTTTCTTTTTCCTTTCTCCTCCTGTGAAGAGGCTGCATCCTAATGTTTTAATGTTGTATTTTAATCTTGTTTTTTTTAATTGTATTTTAATTAACTTGTTTTTATTCTTGGTTGTTAGCTGCCCTGAGCCCGGTCTTGGCTGGGGAGGGTGGGGTATAAATAAAAATTATTATTATTATTATTATTATTATTATTATTATTATTATTATCATCATCCTTTGTTAAGGCAGGTGCGCTCCGTAAGATTCCTCCCTGGCGTTGGGAGGGAAAGTCGACTAAGCTTGAACTCAAAGGTTAATATAGCGAAACTACGTTTTCTGAAACAATATGAGAACCAAAGCACAGCCATCCTTTGAAATTTGCACATTCGAATTTTGCAGCGCAGTTCTCCAGCCAACTAATGTGTAGGGGGGAAATGCATATATTCGTGAGAATAGCATACAAAATGCGTTAGGATAAACTGGTTGCAAAAATGTGTATATTAGTAAAAGAAAAACCCTGCACGGAATGTGTTTATCAGGAGAAATTTGCACCAGAATGCCAAATAATTGCAATTTGTGGCATATTGGCTAACTTGTGGGTTACTATATGCAGGATCAAGTACTGAGGGCAGGAGTTTCAGCGTGGTGTGAAGACAGATTAAATTTTTAAAAAGCAATCGCAGAGTTGTGAACCCTTCTTCAAAACTTTTGTGAGAGACGCCAAGCACTTGATCAGTCGCATATTTTGTCCCTCGATTCCAAGGTAGTTCAACCGTCACTAGTTTCGATTAAATGTGGCAAGGGTTTCCTCCAGTGCCCTTCCCTGCTCTCAGAATATCGCACCCGTCTTCCACCCTTGGTAACCTCCTGGCTTCTTCTGGTTCTGCGTTTAAAATGGTGTGCTAGGTGGCTCCTTTCACAGTGCAGGTGTGAACAGTCTGGTCATTGTTTCCCGGCAGGGCTTAGGAAGGAGGAGAATAGAGGGAAGCCTTCCCAACACCAAGAACTTAATTGACTGGGTTCCCTTGAAGGAGGAGTTAAGACGTGAGAGACCCCTCATCTCAAGCTACCAGTATGACTTCCACTCCAGAGAAAAGGTCCCCCAGGTGTTAGTTCATCACTCCCACAGGCAAGGGCAGCCCCTGCAACGCACTCCCAGCACCACCTACCAGCACACTTACCGGAGCTACTCTTTGTATGAACCCATCCTCAGGACATTCAAGCGTGAGGTGGTGAAAGATGCTGAGCCCACCAAGCCTGTCTCCAGTGAGCCCACCGCCCCTGTCCCCAGTGAGCCCGCCACCGTTCCAGGCTCGTGTGAGCCCACCGCAACAGATACCAGCAAGACCCCAGAAGCCTTTGCTCCAGGACCCATTTATGTGCGCCCTGGCACCCACAGGCCAACCCGGTGGACTGTCTCAGACTGTTTGCACTGGCACAATTGCTGATCACACACGGGAGTTTCTCCGTTATCTGCGAGAACAGTTAAATGCTCCTTTGTACAAGGTGAAATATGGGAAAAAAATAAAATAAAATCTTGCTGGACTGTGACACAAGCGGATGCTACGGGTGTTGCATGCCCTTTATTTCCCCTCTGCCAGGAAACCTTTTGCCACAAAACTCTTGATTTTGGCCACGGAGTTGTTTTGCCAGTCAGAAGAGTTGTGCGGAGATATGCTTGTTTAATTCTACTGTTTTGTTTTCAAGACTAAGCACAAAGGGTTGTTTTGTAGGGACAAATAGGCACCAAACACGGGAGCCCCAGAGGGGGAAGGCTCAGAGCCCGGGGATTGATGGGGAACACTGAAGAGAGATCAGAGGTAGAAGGTATGGGCGGAGGGGGGACTGGTTAGATGCTGAAGAAGTAACAGGCTTTAGTGAGCAAGGAGAGCCTGTGACAGGGAGCAGCTTAGACACAGAGGCTGAAGCAGAGGCGGGAAGGGCAAGAGGCTGCAGGAGAATTCCAGGAGTATGACTCTCCTGCTGTGACAAGCTCCCCTTCCTACTTGTCTCCAAGGTCACACAGGACAATGAACAGGGCTGAACAGAGATTGCAGGTGGGCCGCTACAGTTTGAGGCTGCTTGGACAATGTCCGGTTAGAGAAGGAGACTGGCTGGATGACAAGAAGTGGCAGGAGGCACCAGCTGGCAAACCCCCTAGGGAAGCCTCAGAGGAGGAAGGTTCAGGGCACCGGAAATGGTGGTGGGACACTGAGGACAGGTCAGAAAATGAAGGAATGGTTGGCTGCTTTAAAAAAAAAGCAACAGGCATGAGCGAGAGGGAAGAGCCAAGGGCAGAAAGCAGTTCAGACTCAGCACATGAAGCTTCTCAGGAGCTTGTTAATTCGACTCCCTCCCCCCCCCCTTTCTCCAAGAACATGCATGTGGCTGAACCATGAGCAAGAGTTCGCTCTTGCCTTAGTGTACACCAACGTGGGCAACCTCCGGAAGAGGAGGGGATCTTAGGGGGAAATGGGAATCAGGAACTGTCAGTCCTGGCAACTGTGCTATGGAAGCTGGCCCTGCCTTGAGGCTTCTCTGCGTTGTTTGCTGTTTTCTTGAATAAAGAATTAAACTTCCTGCTCCTCTCTGCGTTTGAGTGCTGAGCTGCATCTGACAGATTGTGAGGACTGGGGAGAAGTAAAGCTGCTGTTGGGCCTTAACAACTTTGTCCAACGTGAGCTTTAAATCTGCCTTTTGGCACTCTTTCTCCCTCTCACCTATGTCGATGCTTGACAACCTGCTAGCAATTGATCTTACAGTGACTGCTTACCACCACCACCAGCAGCTAAGAGTTAAGCGCAGACAGCAGCTTAGGCACGTGGAGCACATCTCGGAACAAGACCCATTTTTAGGAGACAGAAAACCAGGAGAGAGAGAAAAAAATCCACTGGTTTTATTGGCATGAGGTGCTACACCACCTCCTAGGCACTGGGCTAGAGGGCACCTTATGTGCTACATGAGACACAGACCAAGTTAGGAACACACGAGAGGGTGTCGTGGCTGCACCCAGCCTTCCTGGAGTCAACTCAGCTGTGCAGCGTAAAAGACATCAGCGCAAGGATAGCAATGGCAACTCAAAAGCAGAAACATTGGAGTGCCTGCTCCTCTTTGTGCCTACACCTTCCACCGCTCCTCCCCAGAGCCTGCTGAGGAAACCTTGCTGTCTTTGGAGTTAAGGGCCAGACCCACGCAGCCCAATGAGCATGGCAAGAACGCAGGTGGAGCTGTGTCTTGGGCTGTATGGCTGCTTCACTGCTGCGTTCGTCTCCCAGGCTCAACTTTGCGTGTCATCGCTCGCCCTTTTACCGGCAGCCTTAACAGCGGTGCAGTAGAATGTGAGCTGTCAATATAGCACTACCGATATCCGTTATACATGGCGAGTTTACGGAGTAGCATAAGCAAAGAGGGAGGAAAGGGGAGGGGAGGCCTGTGTCCCAGAGAGCTTACAATCTAAAGTTCAACAGCGGGACAGACAATGAAAGGGGAGGGTGCTGAATGGAGCGTTCTGGTTGGCCATCGCTCTGCCGCTTCAACCTGAGCACGGCACAGCCCATATTCTCGCCATGTTCCTTTGGAGTCGGAAGGCTACGCGCAATGAAGAAGCCATGGCTGGGAAGCAGGAAACCTTCTGCGCCTGCTGTGGCACTGAGAAAGTAGTAGATCTCGCTTCGGCTGGCTGGGTGCGCTGCTAAGGCGCTTCGCCCGTGCCCTGCTGACAGTGCAGGGCTGCCCCAGTCTCTGAGCTACTACTCTATGCTTTGCAAAGATGAAATGAGCTACTTGGAGAACAGCAAAGGGAAAGGTCGCTGCTGCAGGGCGCCGCGCCGGCAACGGAGCACATGCTCTCCTCCCTGCTCCCTTGTACGCATGTCCCGTCACCATCGTCGTCAGGCACTTTAGTCCTCTCGGCTTGTATTGGCAGAAGAAATCTCTCCACCGGCAAGCATCGCTCAGACGCCTTCCTGAAGGCACAGGGCCTCCACGGCGCTGCTGGGACCCTGGGCCACCCCTCCGATCACAAAGAGCAGGTTGGCAGCCTCCAAGCTGGAACAGGAGCAGCGGCCGGTGGGCATGGGTGGCAAGGGCTCCCATTTCTTCCTCGCCAAGTTAAATCCTTCCACGGATCCAAGAGCACTTGACTGGTTCCCTGCAAAGGGGGTGGGGAGAGAGGCGGATCCATGAGCCAAGCGGTAGTTGATGTCAACAATTGCAAAAAATAAAAATAAAAAATCTGGCATATCTACTGACTTCACTAGTACAAGAGTACACTATGGCTGAGCCAAGCTCCAAGGCAAACATCTCCCATGAACAACAATGGCACATCCTGCTGCAGCAGGAACGAAAGGTTTCGTTTACAGGCCAAGGGGATGTTTATGAAAGGCAGGGATTTGGAACTCAAACTGATGCCAGAAACAGTGCAAACGGATCCTGGCATGCTTTCTCACAGCAGGCCTCTTTGCCAGCACCCCAGGACTGCCAGCTACACCGAGAGGGTGTGAATGAAAGCCAGAGACCCAATGCTGAAAGCATTCAGATGACACATTTTCAGGTAATTGCTGTCTCTAACTCTCATTCATTTCAAAGACAACCTTGTTGGAGTTTTGCAGTTTAACTTTTATGCCTTCTTTATTATTGTATTTTGTAAGGACATCTAGGGTAGTGTTTAAGAAAGGCAAGGAAGTTGACAGAAAGAGGAGGTTTCTGCAAAAAACAGAGTTCGCTAAAGGCACTCTCTCCCCATGCTCAGTCTCAGTGACATGTAGCAAAGCATTTAGCCCAGAGATGGGGAATTGTTGGCCCTCCCAATGGTGTTCCCAGCCAGCATGGCCCATTGTCAAGGGATGATAGGATTTGTAGTCCAACAATATCTGAAAGGCAATATTTCCCATGCTTGAAACGGACCCTAAGGCATATATATGCAGCATATATTTCCACTGAGAAAATGGCATGCAAAACTTACCTGTATCTAAGAAGATGGGTGAATCAGTGGCTGCCCTAATAGTTTGTGCAAGAGGTGGAGGAGGAGGAGCAAACTGCAACAATGCAGAGGAAAGACCTACAAGATTCAGTGCAGAAGGAAGGGAAGGCTCAACCCCCCCTGTATTTTCTCCTGCTATAATGCCTGTCCCACTCATTCATGTTAGGTAGCAACATGGCCCCCCAACACATCCTTCCAAAGACGTTTAGTTCTGGCACAGAATGCAAAAATGGAAATCTGCCACCACCTCCCTCACTTTGATTCTATCAACCAAAAGGCAGTTATCCTGTGTTTAGGGACAACTCAATTCCTGTTCACATAATGGGCTAGTTCACACATCACAGTAAGCCAAACTGAACTGCTCACATTGTTCCCATTTTGCCCTCCCTGGCCGGGAACAAAGAGCGACCAACCACAAACCTTGCCTTAGTGTGACATGTGAACCAGCGCTCATGCAGTGTGCTCTATCATTTGTGTGCTGTTTTTTCCCCCGGTGAGCTGTGGCTTACGGCTAACCATGGTATGTGAAATGGGTTGGGCCAACTGCTGCCAAAATGGTAGCTTGCAGGGGAGGGAATACCTGAAAACCCTGTGCACACCGATGTAGTTGTACGAGAACTGTATTAGCCTTGATGTTCAGAAACAGAGTCAATACCCTGGTTGCCAGACGCAGGGGAAGCCATCTCTATAGCTCCCCTGGTTGGTGGAAACAGTAAACCTCTGAATGCTAATTGCTGGGAATCACAAGTATTGCACTCAAGTCCTGCTTCTGAGTGACTGATTCCAAAATGCATATGACTGGTCACTGTAAGAACAGGAAGTTGTATTAGATAGGACACTGGCCTGCTCCATCAGGCTGTTCTTATCTTCTCATAGTGCATAGAATAAGGGACTGTTGCAGGCTAATCCAGAACAGGAATGCAGAGAGAGAGAGCTGAACAACGAGGCAGAAAGGAGCAACTTCACAAATCAGATCCACGTCTCTCGACAGGTAAGGGAAGATGACACACTTGAAAGAGATGGTGTAGGTCTACTTGTTTTAAGGAGTTGCATTCCATCCGACAAGCCCTCAAGCCCAGGGGCTTGATCTCACATGCAATCCAACATATCCCCAGCTTGGGACAAGTTCTTGTGCATCTCCATCTTCCGCACACCTCAAGAGCACAGAAGTGGCCCATCTGCCACACTTACCAAGCCCCCCTGCTGCTACCACACGGCCACCCAAGCGTCCAGCCACGAAGTCAGCCCTCTTGTCCCTCATGCGGATGGCGCGGCTCAGTCGATTCCAGGACCCTGGATGGGAGATGGCGGAGAGGAAGAACTCAGCTCACTGTGGAGGGAGAGGAACTAAGACTAAAGGGGAAGACAACTCAGTTGGCCAAGAACCTATGAATGCCAAGATGGATCTTGACTAAAGGGCTATAATTTGGGTATTTACCTCTCTTGACATGGACAAGAGATGACTCA